ATTAAATATTTAAAATCTTTTTAAATAAGTCAGAACCACACAACAGTTAAAAACTGTATATTTTATAGAAGAGCGGAAAACTGATGGCAGTAAAAAAAAGAAAAGGGCGGGGAATATGCCTAAAATGCAGTCAAATGGATGGAGTCAGAATTTTAAATTATCGCTTTAAAAAATAAGAGAAAAAAAACATTTTAATACATATAATAGGAGTTTTACGAACAGAAATATTTTGAAATATTAATATTTTGATATTAATACAAATATACTTAAAAGTAAGCTAACTTAAAATGTATTAACATGTTTGAAATGAACTTGAACCACATGAAATGCGGGGAATGCAGACGTTCAAAATTCCAATTAAAATCATTTTAAAAGTGTCAGCACTTTCCCTGTATGAAATTATAGTAATTGAAATGCTCAAACATACTTGTATTTGTATTACTGATAAACTGATTAAGCCATTGATGCTTTAATTTTCCCTACCAATCAATGAAATCTGCAGTTTTCTTGTTAAAAAAAAATGTACAATGATTTGCATATTGTTTTGTAGGAATTTGTTATGTTTTATATTTGCCATATCTCTGTCGGCTCACATTTGTCTGATGTCTGTCAACTGATTCCCTCTGCAGTCTTATTTCTTGCATATTTGTGCATACACGTTTTTTATACACGGAAATAAAATTATGCTTGGCTGTATTCACTTTCCATAGATATTTTCATAATAATTGTGCACATAAATTATTGGCCTAATATATTGCAATTTTGCCACTTATTTATAAGTAATAAATAGATAATATTTGTCTGAAATAAAATATGGTCTAGTTCGAATGCCTTTAAGTATACATTTGAAATTAATACAAATGTGTATATCTTTAAGTTTTGATTACTATAAGATACACAATGTCGAATATTCCATTGATTCATATGGGTCCCAGGTTCAAATTCCAGCTGAATACAGTGAATTAATTTTTTCGCTCCTTTAAATGATAGTCTAGAAATATCCTTTTATACAAACTTACTTTACATAACACATATAGCATTTCCTTTCTATGCATAATGCACATTTTATATTATTTTTTCTACATTTGATGGTGGATTTTTGTTGCATGCATTTTTGCATACTTTCTGGCAAGTCGACTTGAACAGATTTACTGTCAATGGCCCAGAGCAACAAACCCAACCAACCCAGCTCATATCTCAAAACCGCCTGCCACGCCCCCTCGCCGCCCCCGCCCCACCAAAGAGTAGAAGAAGAAGAAGAAAAGCGGTAGCAGCTGCAGGGGGAAAAAAAGAGAGAAAAACCCTTCAAAGCTTTTTGGCTGCTGTTTGTTTGAAGTTTTTTTTTTTTGCGCCTTTTAAGTGGCAACTACTTTGCACCTCTCGGTGGTTCACACGCACACCTGCCACGCCCCCACGCCCCACGCCCCCACCGACGCCCATTCATGTCTGACTGTCTGTGGTGCCATCTCGTTCTAGTCAAGTGTTTTGGCCTTGAGTCGGTTCTTTTTTTCACCCATTTCATATATATATATGTTTTTTTTTTTATTGCACCTTGGCACACATGTTACACCTAAGAGACGCTACAAAACACCACCTGCCCTTTTGCCCAGCACACACTGCGTATACGCAATTTATGTAATCAAAACCATGGGGGGCGCGCACAAAAATGCATAAAAATTAAAATAAATAAATAATGTTGAGGAAATTTACGAAAGTTGCGGGCGAAAAGTTAAAGCGAACGCAAAATAAATGTATGCGATTAGTTAACCGTGGAGTTTTTGTAATTATCTAATTATAAAACTCAATTTGTTACCTTAATGCGAACATTTTATGCAAGAGAACAAGTTGAAAATTCCTGTGTTCAATAAAAGATGTGAAATAGTTAAGAACAAAACAAAAACACATAAGATGAAGCCTTTACTGTATGTGCAAGATAAAATTTAAAATATTAAATCACGAAAAAAACAAGCATATATTAAACTAATTTAGAGCAGGAATGCTAAGGAAGTCTACAAAATATAAAAATAAATAAAAAATGAAAATAAATGTATGAAACTCTCATGCCGACCCGCATTTTGCAATTATTTGCAGGCCGAATTGCAAACAAATTTATATAAATTATGGTGAAGGGGGGGCGGAAGGGCCAACGATTTATGGTATAAAATTTAATTTTGCGGCTTTTTAATCAACAGAAATCAAATACAGGGCAACATTGTGTTCAACTTATGATTTATAAAGCCCGCACATAATATGTTCGACCCCTATATTTCATCTTAACCCAAAGATTTTTTTCAACTTGACATGTTAAGGAAAAATTTATGTTTAATACACTCTCACTTTCTTTTTTGCTCTTAAAATTAAATTTATATAAACACAAATGAGTTATTTTCTGATATTACTGGGTTTAAGAAAACCCCCAAAACGATGGAAAATGTACCAAAAAGTAGGCTATAAAATAGGTATCGTGTAAAGAACCAAGCAGAAAATATTTAACCTTTTTAATTACTATTTTGCAATAATTAACGCAAAAATAAAAATTGAAAAATAAAAATTCACACTGTTAACCAAATTAATGGCATTGTCGCGCTAAAAAATAGAAAATAAAGTAAAAGAAGTGCCCATATGTCACGTGGGCAGGCAGCGGGTTAATGTGCGTGTGGGGGGTGAAAAGGGGGGAGAGGGGCTTCTGCAGAATTTTGGTTATGGGGTTAAGGGGGTTAAAGGGGTCTGGGAAATCGGGGGCTGCGGTGGCACCCAAATTGATGCATGTGCAGCAGCACGTTCCGGCAATGCCACTAAATCCCCTCTAGGACAACAGGCGACAGGCGAAAGCCACAAAAGGGGGCGTGGCATCGGATGGGCGGGGAGGGGGAGTGAGAGGGAGAGGGGGGGTTGGTTTATTTGAAAAAGCAGCATCGATATGTTATTTGCATGTGTCCAAAATGGGTAGTTTCGGGGGTTTCGGGGGTTCGGGGGCAACGCGCAACCCAAGCAAATCCCGTGGCAACTTTTTGCCACGCGAAAACTTTCTCAGGCAAGTTTATGCATGAATAAAGTGAAAAGCTGCAGGCAAACACATGCAGAGAACAAAAATGTTACAAATATCACAATGTGATTTTAAGTCATTTTTTAAATGAGTCAAAGTTATATGTATGTTTGTACCTACATATGTACATATGTATGTATTATTTTTTGTAAAACATTTATTTGTAGCAATTTCGGAATACAATTTTTTATTTTTAGACTTTACAAAAATTACAAAGAAGAAAACTAAGATTTGTATGCCTTCAACGAAATTACTGAAATAAAAACAGACCTGTAACTTCTTTGAATATCTTAAATAAAATAGAATTAATTTTTTCCAGTGCATGCACTCAAACCCATACACTTATGCACACGCAGAAACAGTTGCCACAGCGAAATAACAGAAAAAGTCATTTCGTGTTCTACTCACATGCGCATAATCCGGCGAAAAGTTGCATTTTATTTAGTGCAGACAAGACATGACAGCATATGTTGGCCCACTTCAAATTCACATTAGACCATAGACCAGAGTCTGTCGCGTTTTTTGTAATTACCCCTGAAAACAACATAGTTCAGCCAACTATATAAATCGGTTAAAAAACTTTATTAGTTCACCAAGCTCTCGTTTTCAATCACAAACTACATTTTATATGCATATCAGCATTTCTTCACGACGGTTACAACAAAAGGATAAAACGAATAGCAAAGTTCCTCTGCTAAAAAAAACAGGTTCAAAACACACTGTTGTCTATGAATTTTTTGAGTTCAAAGTTACACTAAACAAAAAAATTGCTCTTAACAAAATAACTTTATACAACATTTTGAAAAACATCTTTTTAAAAAGATTTTTTTGACATTTCAATATATACATAACAACTTAAAATGCTAGCGTGTGTTCCAAAATGATATATTCTTATGGTATAAATGTTCCTTTCTGTGTAGGATGTGTGATCACTGATCGGATTTAAGTGCTGGGATCATTTGTGTGTTCGCCGCATATGACGCTTAAGAGAATATTCGGATCCAAAAGTAGTTGAGCAGATGGAACACTTGGAAGTGCTTTCTCTACTTCCACAGAAAAACCCGCGGGCGCAGAGTGCACTTATAGGGTTTATCTCCGACATGAATTCGGGTGTGTGCATTGAGGACAGATTGTGTGGCAAAGGATTTCGGGCATTGAGAACACCTAAAAGGCTTTTCGCCCGAATAATTCCGGATGTGCCACTGAAGATCATAATCTTTTGCAAAAGTCTTTGGGCAGTGTGTGCACTTGAAGGGTCGAACTCCAGTGTATGTCTAAATGTGCCGCTGAAAACAGGTTTTCCGACGATAACTTTTCGGGCAATGGGTGCACTTAAAAGGTCTTTCCCCCGTGTAAATAGAGCTATGTTCCTTGAGATACTTTGGGTACCTAAATCTCTTTGGACAGTGGGAACACTCGAAGGGTTGATCCTCCGTGTGAACAAGTATGTGCTCTTTGAAAACTAATGAGCGATGATAACTCTTCAGGCATTGAGGACATTGGTGCTTACGAGGGCGTTCTTCTCTTCTTTTCTCCGTCCCCTCACTAGTTTGCTTATTATGCTCTCGGATATCATCTTCGATAGCCTCAGTCTTTACAGGGTAATCACAGTCGTCTTCTTCCCCTGTAAAGCCACCTTCAACTGGCTCGTTCTTCACCTGGAAGTGGTCGTCTTTAAGCCCCACTTCCTTTGACAAATCCTCTTCTGAGTTTTCTATCCTCACTTGGATTAGGAGCTGGTGATCTTCTGAATACCCTTCCTCTGGGAAATCCTTTCCTGTTAATTCTATATTCACTTTCGATTAGAAATGACCATCCTTTAAAGACTTCCTCTAGGAAATCTTCGCCGGCGTCTTCTATCATTACTTCGCATTGCAGGAGATAAACTTTTGGAGATCCTTCTTCTAGCAAATCTTCTTCAGGATTTTCTATCTTAACTTGGCTTTGGAATTGATTATCTTTTGAAAATATTTCCTCTGTAATAAAGTCTTTTCCAGTTTGTTCTTTCTTCACTTGGCAATGGAATGGTGGGATTTCCATTCCCTCGTTGCCATGAGAATTTGCAGACTTCTTCCTCCAGTGAATCCTCCTCCTTTTTGAACGGTCTGTTATCTTCTTGCTTTTTAAACGGCTTGTAAAACTGTTGAGTCTCCTCGTACTTTTTTATTATCCTAAAGGCCAACGTTGTATCTTTTAGACAAGGTTTGCAGAGGGTTTCAGGAAGGGAATCCCCTCTAGAAACCGGGTTTCCTGTACATTGAGATATCACATCGGCAATTTGAATGTCCAATTCTTGGGAAACATTAAATATACTGACCATCGTTTCGGAACTTTCCAGGCAAGCTCTACATCGTTTCAGCATTGTCCTGAAATGGATATATTAAAACAAATGTTTGAAACAGATTATTGATTACAATTACTTACATTTTCCTATAATATCAAATCATTTTATGGGACAAGTCAAACGCATTTGTTTACTTTTGTATTGCACTAGTCACCCTGTTAAACCCCCGCAACCAGTGCTGCCAACTCTAGCCAAAACAAAAGCTTAAAAAAATGTTATACCAAACATTCACTTCTAAAAACTTATTAACTAATACAAATGATAAGTTATGAGTCGTAATCCACGTATTATCTTGGATTTTCTTTTACTTCAAAAATAATGCCTTTTTTCAAACATATGAGGGTGAAAATGTAATTAAAAGTTTGAGCTATGGAAGTTCCAGAGTTTTTATGTTATAATCTTGATAGAGTTTTAAGAAAGTTTATTTAACAGATTGCAGATTCCAAAAATAAGTAAGTAAAAGTAAAGATTTGTAAAAAATCTGAAAATATTAGCCAAATCAGTTTAAAATAGAGCTGAAATTGCCCATAGAATCAAGCCAAAAAATTTATATCGATTAATCAACACTTCTATGGCGGTTCTCGTTTAAAATATTAATATAAAAAAATGTATTTTATTATTACTTATGTACTTTTTAACTTACAAAAATCTAAAAATTAAAAATCTTTAAGCTAAAAAAACGGTATCTACTGTGGCCAGTACTGCAAAGCGACTTCTTTCAGCACTGTTAAATACGGAGCAAGCTCTATATTAAGAGGGCCAAGCACGGTCAATCCAGAACGTCATGCAGGCATGATTTTATTTTATCTTAATTATTTTTATTTATTTTAATATATATTGTAATAATATAAAATAAAGATTTAAATGAGCCCATTCGCAGGAGTCTGCGTTATCATAACGATCTGCCTTCTAGCATGTGATTTTCTTAGGCGCAATATAAGCGAAATTATAAATTAATAAAACAACAACCAGAAGCAAAAATGTATTTTGATTTTATTTAAGTGATTTAGTGAATGAAATATAAATAAATTAAATTGTAAGGCTTTTATTATGAATGGCATACCTGTAAATATACATTACTTGTAAAGAAAAATCACTGAGATGTCTTCAGAATTTCTTTTCATATTTTGTTAATTGGCATCATTTTGTATTACGTTTTTCAACTGTTTTCACCCAAGAAAACAATATTCAAATGTATACATAAAGGTCCATAGAACTAGAATTTTTCAATTTTAACAGATTCAGCCATGTAGCTGTTAACTAACAGAGGCAAACGTCACGCGCCGTCATACTTGGCTTGACCGTGCAGGCAACCGATTAATCGCTGCGAGCCGCCGTGTTATCGTTTTGAGCGTCGTTCCGTTCCGTGCAATTTGCGAAAAAGTGTCGGAAAATTAAGGAAAAATATGCTATCTCCAAGTGCCAACTTGTGAGGGTATAGAACTAATCCAAATACCAGTGGTTTTTCCGCATAGCCGGCGTTTTTCCATTGGCCGTAACAAGAAAACTCTTTTTTTTCCCCTTGTGTACGTGTGTGCGCCGTGTGCTACTGTGCGTGTGTGTTAGTGTGCTGGTGTGAGCGCGTGTGTGTATGTAAAGAAAACGCCGCACACTGCGAAAATTTTCCTTTCCCCAACGGTCTAATATAACCGCTAAAATTGTGGAAAAACAGGAGAAAACCCCGAAGCGGAAGAAGAAGACTGCAGCCAGTAAAATGTCTGCAGTTTATTCGCCGCAACCGCCGCAGCAGCAGCAGCCGCAACAGCAGCAGCAACTGCAGCAGCAGCAGCAGTTGCAGCAGCCTCCCCGCCACAACAACAACAGCAGCAGCAGCAACAACAGCCGCCCCCTAATTCCGCCCCCAATCAACAGCCTCCAGGATCAGGAGTGGGTCCCGGCGGAGGGGGAGGCGGCGGCGGAATCCTGCCGATGGGAATGCAGCAGCAGCAGCAACAACAACGACCGCCCATGGGCGTGCCGGGATCGCCGGGCAGCATCATCTCGGGCGGCGGCGTAGGCGGAGGAGGAATCGGCGGCGGGGGCGGACTAATGGTCACCCCACCGTCCACACCACGCGGTGGCTCCAATCTGCAAGGAGGCGGCGGCGGAGGGGGCGTGCCACCGCAAGTCAACTCCGCGCAGATACAAAAGATGCTCGACGAGAACTGCGGCCTCATCCAAACGATCCAGGACTTCCAGAGCATGGGCAAGGCGCAAGAGTGCATGTCCTACCATGTCGCCCTGCACCGCAATCTGGTCTATCTCGCCCAGCTGGCAGATCCCGCCATGAACATCTCACAAATACTGCCGGTGGGTGGTCCATAAAAGCTATAGTCCCAGAAACGTAGTAACTATATCCCCATAATTATAACATAGTTTCATAACCCAGGGAGCTATTTAAAACCATTTACTAAAAAATGTAGGTCCTTTCAGACATTCGTCATCTTTATAACAATGACTTAAAGTTAGTAAAACGTTTTTGCCCCTAAATTCACCAAAATATTACTTATCAGTTAGTTTCATCACCTTGGGAAATGTATTATTTTAAACTACAAAATGGGTTAAGTATATTATAATTTCATTACCTAAAAATTAGTTTAAACTTTAAAGCCATTTGCATGGATTTGCACAATAAAATTAAAGTACAGCTTAATCTTTAAAACTCATGATTATATGTTGCTTTTCTTGATTTAGAAAAGTTTAAACATGAATAAAGAAAAGCCCTTGTTAAGCTACAATATTTACCTATATTACTCTGTTTTATCACTAAGAATTGTGTTAAAGCATCTTCCAGATGAAACAAATAATTCAAGGGATATATCATGTAAACCTAGCTTGATAATTAAATTTATATTTTTGTAATACTTTTTTTGGTTACTTTGTTCCTTTTTATGTCATTAAGCATAACATCGCATTATCAACACATTTTTTTGATAAAAATATATTAATCAATTAAACGCATCTTTTGAGAGATAAAAAACTTTGAGTTTGTAAGAACTTATTCAGCTAGGTAATTCCTCTGAACTAACTTTATTAATTATAATATATAACAAGAAAGGAAAGCTAACTTCGGGCGGAGCCGAAGTTGATATACCCTTGCAGAATACTCTGTAAATTATATTCTCCAAAATTATTCATATGATGCATTCTTAATACTCATAAAAAATCCGAACTTCCTAGCTTTAACAACAACAAAGTTATGGCATTTCCAATCGTTCAGTTATATGGTAGCTATAGGATATAGTCCGCCGATTCTTATGAAATTTGGTAGGTCGGATTGATTGGCCAAATATAACACCCACAGAAAATCCCAAATTCCTAACTTTACAAACACCAAAGTTATGGCATTTCCGATCAATCAGTTATATGGCAGCTATAGGATATAGTCGGCCGATCCTTATGAAATTTGGTAGGTCGGATTGATTGGCCAAAAATAAAATCCATAGAAAATCCCAACTTCCTAACTTAACAAACACCAAAGTTATGGCATTTCCGATCAATCAGTTATATGGCAGCTATAGGATATAGTCGGCCGATCCTTATGAAATTTGGTGGGTCGGATTGATTGGCCAAATATAAAACCCATAGAAAATCCCAACTTTCTAACTTTACAAACACCAAAGTTATGGCATTTCCGATCAATCAGTTATATGGCAGCTATAGGATATAGTCGGCCGATCCTTATGAAATTTGGTAGGTCGGATTGATTGGCCAAATATAAAACCCATAGAAAATCCCAACTTTCTAACTTTACAAACACGAAAGTTATGGCATTTCCGATCAATCAGTTATATGGCAGCTATAGGATATAGTCGGCCGATCCCGGCCGTTCCGACTTATATACTGCGTGCAAAGGAAAGAAGGGTGTGTGCAAAGTTTCAATCCGATAGCTTTAAAACTGAGAGACTAGTTTGCGTAGAAACAGACAGACGGACAGACGGACAGACGGACAGACGGACAGACGGACAGACGGACAGACGGACAGACGGACAGACGGACATGGCTATATCAACTCAGGAGGTGATCCTGATCAAGAATATATATACTTTATAGGGTCGGAGATGTCTCCTTCACTGCGTTGCACACTTTTGACCAAAATTATAATACCCTCTGCAAGGGTATAAAAATAGCCTTTTTTATCTTTCTTGTAATAACTAGAAGAATATTAAGGAAGTGAAACCTATTCAATGGTTTTGGATTAACAGTTGAAAGCATTTGAATATATTAAATAAATACTTGAAAAATTTGGAATATATTAAATAAATACTTATTTGTTGGCCTTTATTAATGCATCCATTCCTTCCGCAGCCGCCGCACATCCTCCAAACGCAGGCGATGCAGCAGGGCGGCCAGCAGACGCCACCGACCGGGCCGCACGGGATGCTGGGCGGTCCGCCGCAGCAGCAGCAGGTGGGACAGGGACCGGTGCCGGGTCAGCCAGGTCAGGGTCCGCCGCAGATGGGCATGCAGCAGCACGGCGGCGATCCCCAGGGACCGCCTGTCCAGATGCCGCCCTACGGCGCCCAGCAGCAACAGCAGCCGCAGCCACATCCAGGCCTGCCGCCGGGAGCCCAACAGCAATCTCAACAGCAGCAGCAACAGCAACAACAACAACAGCAGGCGGCGGCTGCAGCAGCGGCGGCAGCGGCCGTGGCCGCCGGCCAACAACAAGGGCCGCAGGTCAGCCAAGCGGGTCCGCAGTCCCAGCAGCAGCAGCAGCATCCCGTCTACCGCAACGCCCAGGGCCAGGGTCAACCGGGTCCTGGCCAGGGACCTGGTCAGGGTCAGGGACCCGGTCAGTCCGTCATCAATCCGAATGCAGCGCCCAGTAAGTGTAATGTAGCCGTGCAAGACTTAGCCGTGCAAGATCAAGATATAACCATGCAAGACCAAGACGAGTCGATGTGGATGGACTTTTTGTTTAACGAATTCGGCCCGAACGCACTGAAGTTTTATTAATCCCTGCGATATTTTTGATTTTTTGAATATTTTGCAAACTATGTGTTAAATATACAAATTAAAGTATTTTGTTTGAAAATACTGTTTAAAACTAGACTCATTTCATTTTTATAATTTATGTTATCTGATTAGATAAGTGGTTTACAATATTATTTTTTGCTGAAAAATATAAAAGAGAAAGTAATTTGGTTTGATTTACCCACAGTAATGTACTTTGTACTACAAAATGTATTTAAAATTGTAATTGTTGTGTGCTGTTTCTGCAATATCTCTGAATGATCCCTCTAATTTCAATCAAATTTCCGCCTTGCAGATCAACAGCGTCCCAACAACGGACCCCTGCCCGGACCCCAGAATCCCCAGCAGCAGCAACCGCAGCCCGGAGGCCAACAGCCGCCCAACCAGCAGCAGCAGGGCGGACCCGGCGGGCCAGGACCCCAGCCGGGAGCCGGAGGACCCGGTGTCCCGCCGCCGCAGAGTCCGTACCGCGTCAGCTACCAGCAGCAACAGCAGCAGCATGGCCACTACCCGGGCTATCCGCCACAGCCGCAGACGCAGTACCAGCCGCAGGGCGCCTATCCCTACGGCCCGCCAACCCAGGGCTACGGCCCACCGCCGCCGGGGCCCCCGAACGCGGCCCAAGGTGGCTACCATCACGGTCCAGCCGGTGCGGCGGCGGGAGCCAGCGGGCACGGCTACCAGCCAAATGCCGGAGCCGGACAGGGACCGCCGCCGGGAGCCTATCCGCCGCCACCCGGCAGCCAGCAGGTTCCTCCGGTGCCGGGACAACAGCAACCGCCGCCGGGACCACCGCCACCCGGACAAATGTACGGTCCACCGCCGACCGGAGGGCAGCAACCGCCGCCGGGACCGCCGCAGAGTCAATACGGTCCGCCGCCGCCCCAGAATTCCGCCGGAGGACCGCCCCCAATGGGCTATGCGGGCTATCCGCCAAATCCCGGACAGTATGGTCAGGCGGGAGCGGGAGGAGGACCACCGCCCGGTGGCTATGGACCACCACCGCCGCCCACGGGCAGTGGCCAGAGTCCCTATCAGGCCTACCAGCAGCACCAGGCTGCCGGTGGCGGAGGAGCGGGCGCACCGCCGGGCAGTAGCTACCCGGGTGGACCGCCCACCAGCGGAGCAGCACCACCACCACCGCCGGGCGGTGCCTACAGCACCACGGCGCCGAGTCAGACGCCACCGCCACAAGGAGGAGGCGGAGCAGGTGGTGGCAACACCAATCCCAATGGGCCCAACGCACAGCAATCGACGCCGCCGCCGCAGGGAGGAGCTGGCGGTGGAGCAGGGCCCAGCGGACCCGGCGGAGCTGGCCAACAGTATGCTGGGCCACCGCAGCAACAGCAGCAGCAACAACAGCCACCGGGCGTCGTGGTTTCCGGTGTGGCGCCGCTGCCGACGCAGGTCCAGCCCACATACTCGACTCCGGGCAATTACAATCAACAACCCGGTGCTCCGCCGCCGCCCAATCAGCAGCAACAACAGCAGCAGCAGCAGGCACCGCCGTCGGCTGGAGGATCCGCAGGCGGAGGAGGAGCACCCAATGCCCAGGGTAGCCAGCAACCGCCTCCGAATGGCGCCACACCGCCGATGCCACCGAATCAATACCAACCGGCGCCGGGAGCACCACAAGGTCCCTATGGAGGACCGCCACCACCACAAGCCTACGGACCACCGCCACCGGGAAGCGCCTATCCCGGACACGCTTACCATCAACCACCCCAGGCCGGTGGCTATGCACAATATCCGCCCACGCAGGGCTACCAGGGCTATAGGCCCGCCGGGGCACAGATGCCGCCGCCAGGAGCACCACAGGGGCCACCACCCACCGGCGCATACGGTTACTACAGCCAACAACCGCCTCAATGAGGAAGGGACAGCCTATTACCGCCGCTGCCACCTGGCTGTCTCCACAACAAGTAATTCCCCGCTGGAATTCGCTGGTTAAGGCTGGACAGGGTTCACTGGCTGACCACCAGCGGTTGTCGTGGAGGACAAGGAAATCCGAAGAGGATCGGCCAGTTGGAGGAGGATGTGCAGCGGGATAGCAGCGGTAATAGCACAACTAGATGAGGACGTGGACGAGAAGGAGGAGGAGGAGGAGCGGGAAATGGTCAGATAAAAAAGATTAAGATAAATTAGGCATATGATTTAGAATTGTATCAGATAAAGGCGCAGGGGGAGGAGTACGATTAGAGCTAAGAGTAGAAACCGGAACAGAAGAAGTAGGAGTAGGATTACGAATAGGAGAAAGAGAGGAGTAAGCATAAGACTAAAAGTAGAAGAAAGTACGGCAGAAAAGTATAGATGAAGGATTGAGATGAAAATTCAGGGTTCCCAAAAAAAAGCAACAATTTCCTCGAATTTCGGTTGAGCTGACATCTTGTCCAAAGGAAAACTGGTTTAACGTAATACAAAATTTAACAGTTTTTGTGATACAAAACTGGTGGATAGGTAGCTCCTAAAATCAGTAAGAGCATACAAAAAATCGAACCGAAACAGAAGAACTAGAAAAGAAGAACACGAAGTGTAGTCCGTCAAAACAAAGGCGATTTAGGATTAAGTAAGCAGATTAAAATGTGCAAGCGAACAAGAAACCGTGTCCTAGGCCCAAAAAACCAGACAAAATGGGTGGGTCGATTTTTAGGGAACGCAAAACAAGAAAATGGTTGGGTTCGGTTATGAAAGTGTCAGTTTCCATGTATTGTAAAGCGCTTAAAGCGAATCTGCAACAAAACTAGAGGAAAGCCTAAATTGTGCGCAGTTTTTTAAAAATAACTTTGTGTTTTTTTACGTCATATGATATTTTATTTTTATACACCTTTAGATTTTTAATGAACTGTGTAGCCTCCAGACAATTGTGAACGATTTTGGCATCAGAGCTAATGGTTCTATATCTTAAATACTTTAAGGGTTTTCATAGAACTACCCAAGTTTCTACTACTTATAATAGTTCATTGATTAACCTGCCCTTTTTCCAGTTTTTACTTATCCATACCAATCGACTCATCCTATAATATATTTAATAATTCATTCTCGTAAGTAGGTTCCGCTCCTCTTTAAAAAACGATTATTCTAAACGATTTATTCATTAATATATATATATATACTTAAGTGTATGAAGCAGGACGATGGAGCAGCAAAATAGTGCATGTTTTAACATAAATAACCCACTAACTATTTAAAATATTTTTTTTTGTGTTCTTGTAGATGTCTGTTTTTAAAGTTCATGCTTTTTTTGTGTAGCAATTTTTTATTATCCTCGCTCCCTGTTTTCTTCCAATACTTTTTTTTGAGGAGAAATATTGTAATTTGTAAAATCCACACATATTTATACGATAAGCTTACATTTACTATTTAAAGTAAAACTAAAAACTATAAATAGCAAGATAAAATCATGAATAAACCTTACATTTTAAATAATTCAAGAAGCAAAAATAATCTATACAGAAAGCTTGGGAACATTTTGGAAATTATTAAAACTTCGACCAAAAGGATAACGAGCGGAGTACAGTTAGCACTCTCCATACAGATAAAAATAATGTCAATAAACCTAACACATCCTTGAATATTATAATTAACTTGGAACTATTTGATATGTAAACTGAAAAACTTATTAGTAGGTACTGTTAACAATTATTAAAATTCTTTGCTTGCGCTTTAGAATTCCAAATTGATATCTAAATTATTTATTAAATAAAGAAATTATTTAAGGTTAGCTAAAATGTAACCGTAAGAGATGGAAATTATATTGGAAACCGTTTTTGGGACCTTCCTAGAAATGTAAAATTTAAAAAGATATTTCCGCAAGTTCCACTAGACATAAGATATTTCTCGCTCTTATTGAGAGCCTGGCTACTTCTGCGCTGCTCTAATCCGATCTGATATAATCTGATTCGATATACCGATTATTTCATGATCCACATCGAGACATTTAGATATACATATGTGTATCAAATAGCATTTAGAAATTTCTATTTTCAAAATGCAAAATAAAAAATTGAAAAAGTTATAAAAACAAACCATGTGTTTTCATTTATCTTTTACTTTATTTAAATGCTGTATTCACTTTCATTTATATGTTTTTATCTATATATTTTCTATTTTATTTTATTTGAAAGTTTACGTATTGTTGAACTAAAAGTTATTTACTTTTCACGTTTTTATAAAAGAATATGATATGATTTGTGGGATTTTTTAAAAATATAGGATCTTTTTATCTTTAACAGTAAACACAACACAAATTCTTTTGTTAGCTAAAAGTATATATATTTTTTAAGATTTACATTAAAATTTATTGTTTTCATATATAATTGTCTTACTAACTTACATCCTAATTTTTGGTTTCTCCTTTCGCTTGAACTAATATAATAATGTAATTTTCGAATTATTAATGTTCAGATTATTGCATTTTGGTGGTTTCCTAAGACGTCTGGAGATATAAAACAATATAGATGTTTTGGTTTTGAGCCTATTCAGGTATTTTTTAAGTTTTAAAGTAAATACTTAAGGAATTAAAAAAATATACATATTTCTAGCTATAGTTTTGAATATTTTCAAAGTTTTCGAAGCTTTTGAAATGTTTTTTTTTTAAGCATTAAGAAAATTATAAATATGGCCTGATATACCCCCGAAAAATTTCACAAGGCTAACAAATCATATTCTTTCCAAATCTCAAAAGGTTCTAGGAATATGTTTTGTAATTTATTTTATTGGAATTATAAAGGTATATTATCGGTGGGAGCTTATCACGACTCCCGTGGCTGGTTGTGTGTCATCTCCTAGTCCTGCTCCTCCTCTTCTTCGTCGAGATCTTCCAGCAGCGGCTGGTCACCGGAGGGCCCGCCTGTCGTTCTTGATGCTCTCGAGGATCCGAATCCCGATGGACCCAATGGTGCCGCTGCTGCTGCTGCTCCCAATACCGCTCCTTCGGCTTCTGCAGGTGCTTCCTCGCCCGCCTTGCCACGTCGGAAAATTTTGTTAAAGATCTTCTTGACAAAGTTCTTGGGCGCCGACGCCTGACGGCCCACAATGATCATCTTGGTGGCCACACTGTGGATGGGCCCAAAGGCCAAGGCCACCACCGTGCAGGCCAGACAGATCACATTGTACGGCATGCTGAAGTCCGGCGTGGGCAGCGAGACAATCAGCGCCTCCGTATGCAAACTGAGCACATAACTGGGTCGCGTGGCATTGAACGAATGCTCGAAGAGATGCCCCTCCGGAGGCAGGGCGGTGTAGTTCCTGCCCATCGGCAGTTGGCTGGACACAATGGCGGCGCCGATGTAGTGGCCGTGATTCGCATCCGGCGGATACTCCAGCCACTTGAGCAGCAGATAGTCGACATCGATGGTTATCAGTGCGGAAGTCTGGCCGGGCAGCATGAAGCCGATCTCCAGGTGGGAGGGCAGCTCCCTCTGCTTCCCGGGCGTATAGTGGAGCAGCTTGAAGGGCAGCCGCTGGCGTCCGTACTCGTTGACGCGCTGCGGTTTCCGGCGAATGGAGAGGGTGTGCAGGTAGGCGTGCACATACCACGGCACCACCTCCTGCACCATAATGGGCAATGCATCGTAGTGGGAGTTGGTCACCTCCGTGACAATCCTGCCCCGCTCCTGGCCATGCCCGAGCAAATACCGATGGACGGTCACCGGCGGCAGCGAGGGCTTGGCCAGGTTGCGCCGGCGACCCTCGCTCTTGGGCGACAACCAGGCCACATTGAACAGCCGCTCGCCGGCATCCTTGAACTGCTCGTGCATGTCGTAGACGGAGTAGACCACACTGTGGCCGCCGCGGGTGCTCCTCACCTCCTGCGTGGGTGCCGGAACCAGTTGGAAGCGCTCGCCCTGCTCGTTGCGCTGCACATAGATCTTGGAGCTATCGGCCAGCTCGCAGAATCCATTCAGTCCCATACCGAAGAGCCGGCGCAGCGAGAAGTCGTTGTTGCTCAGCTCGAACAGGCGCAGATCGTAGACCAAATTGGCCGTCTGTGTGAGCTCCACGATGCAGTTCTCCTCGTCGTGATCCTCGCACAGCACCCGAACCTTCAGGCCCAGCGAATGGTACTTGGTGTTGTGCACGTGGCCGGAATTGAGGAGCGAGGCAAAGCCGGAGGCACTGCCGCAGGGCAGTAGTTTCTTCCACGGCGTCAGGTTCTCCGTGCACACAATCTCTCGCGGCAGTGTGGAGTACCGCACGAATCTCTGGCCATTGGCGGGCATGAATTGCGGCCGGATCAAGTGTCGCGGTGCAATGCTATTCGTGTTGTCCACGAAATTCAAAGAGGCACACAGTACGCCAGAGAAAACGTTGGCCAGCTCCTTCCACTGGCGGTCCACCTCGCCATTGGTCAGATTCGAGCCGCTGAACCACGCCCACATCTCCGCACCGCTAGTGGCCTCCACAATGGGATAGCCCCACGTCTCGTAGCGCCACAATCCCTGGGTCAACCCGATGTGCAGCTCCTTCACCGCAAACTGCTGCAGCAGCTCAGCAATCACCCGGGGCGTCAATTGGGTGTGGTAAACTGGGAGAGCAGACGGGAAAGGGTTTTAAGCCATCGTATAAGTGGGCATAAGATTGTATATTATACCCCAATGTTTGGATAACTTTTAAATGTACTACATATACCACTTTCTGGGTTCTATAAGTGTCGTGGGTCATTTAATTAATTAACATTGATTAAAACTACATTTTAATGTAGAAGCATGCGACATTAATATTGAATCTATTGTGGTAAAGTTCTAGGCCGAGAATTGTGAACACATTTTGTCGGAAATCTGAAATATTATAAAATTAAACTTTATAGCTGACCTTAGACTGAATAACAGTTAGCCGATGTTTCAATAATTTGTAAGACAATTGTTCCTGTTGTATACTTTCTTATCAACAAATAACCATTAACAGGGTGGAAAATTACAGTTAAAACACACAAATTAGTTATTAGTAATAATATATATTAAAAAGGTAATATCAACAGAGTGGCACCTTATAATAAACATACAAATTGGGTTAGATCTGAAGTCATTTAACTATAAGAATGGGACATACATCGATCGATGCTTATTACAAAAATCGAGAATATAGTTCAATGAAGCGAGCGGGGCCTGTGTTGTTGCTCTCGTATTACCGGTAGGTAATCCCCAGCCTCTGAATTGAAGTGGATTACTAGGGGTACTCACGATTATCCTTTTCCCCGTAGTGCCAGCGCGTGGTGAACTGGAAGTAGGTGTTGACATGGTCGCCTGATAATGGGCGAACCACTAGCTCCTCGTGGAATCGTTCGTTATCCTTTCCCAGCGAAGAACCGGCATTAAATGCGACCAGCAGCAACAAGACAAACGCCTCCGGAAACATCCTGGTTCATCGGCAGTTCCAGTTCTTTCGATTCAACTGTACTAGTTATGCCTGCCAATGTCTGGAGGCCCCTTTTTTTTACATACAAAGTGTTTTGTTTTATTGTATTTGATTTTTAACAAAAACACGGACAGACCGTAGCACGCCTGTTAAAATATACCAAGATCCTAAAAAATATACTGACGCTATATCTGCAACCCCTTATGTGCGTCGGTGACTTTGCGGCGATGTCGGAACGGTGGAATTTGGAACACGAGGTCTGCTTTTTTATTTTCTCGCATTTAGACATGTAAATAAAAATATTTTTTAAAAAATCTACATATATATTTATGTAATCTAACTATATATGTAAGATTTGAGTATATTGGGGGTTTGCGAGTATTTCAAAAATGCCTTTGAAAAATCAGCTCCCCACATTTTGCAGAATATCCCACAGATCGTGTGCCAAGTTATACGCTACATCAGCTTTAAAGACGTTTCTTCGAGCTCAAAATTTTATACAAATCGTATCCATAGTTTTGAGGAAATTACTTAACAGTGTGCAAGCGCCTGAATCAGCCCATACAAAAAAGGGACTACAACATTGAATTAGAAATTAAGTCCTTCACAGAGTGTTATATAGTGTGTTATAGTTTTGTTTCTGGAAAATTTGATAAAAATTGTATTCACAGTTTTTGAGAAAATAGCATTACAGTTTGCGTAGTTTGAAGGGATAAAAAATGCCGCCCACTCCATTACTTCAACCAATTCGTTAGCCATGGCATGAACCAACTTATTTTCTGTCGTTTAAAATACCAAAATTACAACGCGTTGTCAACCACCTGAAATGAAGCCTGAATGAACGTTCGCCAGGCCCTAGCAAAATGAGCATTAATGCAATATAATAACATGCTTTTTAAAAACCGTATATTTATTTGAAACCGTAGTCAATACCCAGAGCTCGCCGGTTAATAATAATTACTTTTACAATACTAAACCTAAATATAAACCTAGAAACATTGGAAGTTAAGTTCTTTAATTGTTTTATTTTATTGGGGTAGTAGCATTTTTATACCCTTGCAAATGGTAATTTTATAATTTTAGTCAAAAGTTTGCAACGCAGTGAAGGAGACATTTCGGACCCTTTATACATATATTCCTGATCAGCATCACCAGGAGAGTCGATCTAGCCATGTTCGTCAGTCCGTCTGTCCTTCCGTTTCTACGCAAACTCTTTCCCAAAAGTTGTCTTTGCATTGCGGATAAGTCGGAACAAGGCGGATCGAGCGACTATATCATATAGCTCCCATAGGAACAATAAAAAAAACAAATTTTTTAAGGTGTAACTTTATTGTTTAATTTTGTTTTGTTCTTTGGGATTTGGTAATATTTAAATACTATTAATTAAATTATGATTGGACATCTATATCATACAGTTCTCATAGGAAAATCGAAAAATTAATTATTTAAAATCGCCTAAATTTTTGTTTTATATGTTTTCATAAAAATTCACTCGAAAAATATTTAATCGTTTTCATTGAAAAAATTACTTACCCTTTTATGCTAAAATAAATATTGAATTTAAACTTAACATATTGGGATGGGCTAAGGATCGTTCCCATGGTGATCGATAGTTTGTAGTTTTTTGTCTTCATTATTCTCGTTCGTCTTTCACAAATATAAGCTCTTGTACCGTTTTTATACCCTTGCAGAGGGTATTATAATTTTGGTCAGAAGTTTGTAACGCAGTGAAGGAGACGTTTCCGACCCTATAAAGTATATATATACTTGATCAGGATCAATAGGGGAGTCGATATAGCCATGTCCGTCTGTCCGTCTGTCCGTCCGTCCGTCTGTCCGTCTGTCCGTCTGTTTCAATACCGTTTGCGAGCTCAGTTTAAAAGCTAGCGATCTGAAACTTTCACAGTCGTCCTAAAACAAGTGTACGCAGATCAAGTTTGAAAACCGCCCCGATCGGATGTCTATATCCTATAGTTCCCATAGGAACAATCGGATATAACTTGCAAGAATGGAAGATATTTCGCGCAGTGTAAAAGCTATTGACATAAATCTTTCCAAATCTTATTTTTTTATGCGTACCTTGATCAGAGTAAAAGCGCGTGACGATCGGACGTCTATATCCTATAGCTCCCATAGGAACAAAAGGGTAAAATCGGTTAAAATTTAATGATTTTAAGGATATTTCACGCAGTATACAAGCTATTGACATGAATCTTTCCAAATCCTATTTTTTTATGCATACATTGATCAAGGTGAAAGCGCGTGCCGATCGGACGTCTATATCCTATAGCTCCCATAGGAACAAAAGGGTGAAATCGGTCCAAATTGGATGATTATCAGAATATTTCGCGCAGTGTGTAAGCCACTAACATTTCCAATTCTTATTTATTTACGCATATCTTGATTAGGGTAAAAGCGCTTGCCGCTCGGAAGTCTATATCTTAAAGGAGATAGGAAAAATTGTTAAAGGCTGCGAAAGTATCATTTTTTTTCTATTTGTATATGACATTTTTGCAGTATAAAAGCAATTGACTTGAAACGATGCAAATCTAGTTTACTTATGTATACCTTATTCCTTTCGCTACTTTTTCACTTTTAGCAATTTCGTCAAAGTCTGCAAGGGTATTAAAACTTCGGCTTGCCGAAGTTAGCTTCCGTCCTCGTTATTATTTAAACTTCGACGGAAGCTTTGGTCGGCCGCATTCTATCATTGTTACTATTCCGGCAAAGGTATGAATCCAAAATCGACCAAATCCCTGGCACTCATGGCCATCGGAAAGCTGTCCAGTCGGTCGGGGTCATCGGTTCCGGCTATCATGAAATATTTGAAGAGCATTGGTCACGAGTGGAAGGATGCTAAGAAAACCGCACGCGTTATGCAACGGGTCCTTAAATTAGCCGTGACCTCGGACGATGTTGAAATGGTAAGGCGATTCAAACTTACCGAAAAGTACAAAAAATCCTTCAAGGCTGTGGAAAAAATGAAGGCTACAGTCCCGAAAGAAGAGGAAAGCGGATGGCGAGGACGAGACAGCTCCTCCAACAAAGAAAGCGGCCGCCGGCGAAGAGGCTTCGCTGCAAACTTCCGAGCCCGCAGCAACGGAAGCAGCTGAATCATCCGAAGTGGGAACGTCGATGAAACCCCGTAAATCCATTGGAACATCGTCACAGCCCAAGACGTCCAGAACTGAAGCCAAGGTGTTCAGAAAACTGGTCGGAGTGGTAAAGAAAGTCAAAAATTTCTTCACCGGCTTGACTTTATGTCTCTCAGCATCGGAAACTTCCATGCCCAATTTTCCTGAGGTTCAGGCCAGCTCCACTCCTATTCCTCAAAGCCCCACGAAGGAAAAGCGCAAGCGCAAGTCGAATTATAATACTATAGCATATTTATACCCTTGCAGAGGGTATTATAATTTTGGTCAAAAGTGTGCAACGCAGTGAAGGAGACATCTCCGACCCTATAAAGTATATATATTCTTGATCAGGATCGCCTCCTGAGTCGATATAAGCATGTCTATCTGTCTGTTTCTACGCAAACTAGTCTCACAGTTTTAAAGATATCGAATTGAAACTTTGCACACACCCTTCTTTCCTTTGCACGCAGTATATAAGTCGCAACGGCCGGGATCGGCTGATGGATGTTATCTTTCATGCGTTGTATGTTTGGCCAATCAATCCGACCTACCAAATTTTATAAGGATCGGCCGACTATATCCTATAGCCGCCATGTAACTGATTGATCGGAAATGCCATAACTTTAGTGTTTGTAAAGTTAGTGAGTTGGGATTTTCTTTTTATTTTTGGCCAATCAATCCGATATACCAAATTTCATAAGGATCGGTCGACTATATTCTATAGCTGCCATATAACTGAACGATTAGAAATGCCATAACTTTGGTGTTTGTTAAGTTAGGAAGTTGGGATTTTTTATGAGTACTAAGAATGTATCATAATTTTGAAGAATAATTTTGGAGAATATAATTTACAGAGTATTCTGCAAGGGTATATCAACTTCGGCTCCGCCCGAAGTAAGCTTTTCTTTCTTGTTTTTAAGTTTTTTTTGTTGTTCTTTCGGATTTGGTAATATTTAAATACTATGAAATTTCCGTTTTAATTAAATTAAGCTCGGACATCTATATAGCTCCCATAGAAAAATGAAAAAATTAAAAAAAATAAAATGTAAAAACATGACTTTTTTTATTGGTAAACTAAATTAGTTATATAATTTAGCAATATACAATACAAATAAACGACAAGCTGTACGACATCTCCACCCCTCTTGTAAGCACTTTGATTTAGGTTTAGCCTAGCATTATATAAATAAATAAATTACGCTGCTTTTATTTAGTATTAATAAACAAAATGTCCAGTGCAAGGAGGAAATATTTAATCTGACTAGTCAAGGTTCTTATCAGCGTAGGAGAAGTCATCATCCTCGCCGTAGCTCCACCCGTCCTCGATCTCCTCGTTGCCGAAGAACCGCTCCAGATCCTGCTCCGCCTCCGCCGGCACGGTGTCCGCGGCGTGCAGCTGGTCCTGCTCCTCCGGACACCCGCGGCAGCGGCTCTCGTTGATGCCGTAGTTGAGGCAGCTCCCGCCCACGCACTCGCAGCAGCCGTCGTGGAACCAGCGGTAGCTGCTGGCCCCCATGCTCTCGCACTGCTGCCGGCACTTGTTCGCCCGGATGCAGGAGTTCACGTAGATGACGGTGCACACGGTGTTGGCCTCGGCTCCTGTTCCGGCGTCTCTGGGAGCACCACTACCACCACCACCCTGGACGCGCTGCTTGAAGCCGGCGCGCATGGGGAACCGGATGGTGGACCACCCCTCGTCATCCTCGGCGGTCAGGGTGTCGAACAGCTCCGGCAGGCCCTCGATGTCCCCGATCTCCGAGCGCGGCGTCAGCGAGGGCAGGGCGTCCTTGTGCTTGGGACACATGTCCAGGCAGCCGCAGCACTCGATGTAGAGCTCCCCGAGGCAATTCAGGCAGTCCTTGCAGCAGTGGCAGTCGTTCAGCTTGCACTGGCAGCTCTGGGTGATGAGGCACTTGGACACCACCGATCCGCAGACCACCTCGTTGCACCCGTCGTCGTTGGCGTCCGCTGGCCAGGGAGCCAGTATTAGGATCGTTCCGATCAGGAGGAGGGCGGAGTAGCACGGCAACTGCAACTGCATTCTGGTCGGTAACTCGTGGCCTACTGACACTGCCTGCCCCACTGCGGCACGTCCTTATATGTGGCCGTGGCCAGATGGCCAGATGGCCAGGTAGCGGGATCGTCCTGCAGATCCGCCAGTCCATGTCCAGGTAGTGCTCGCAGCAGTCGGACGGGTAATTTAAAACCAGTTAGCGCCCACACCGTCATAAAAAAGGACAACCCACAAGGATTAGGGGCTGGTCAAACGGTTGGGCTGGGGCAAAACACTTATCTGGACTGAAATCCTAACCGCTGACTTCCAATACTAATTGATATTAACCGCCCTAAAATACGCCAACCTGCGATAATGCGACATGCAAATCAGGTAGATTCCCAGGCCGCTGATTGGTATTATAGATCGATACATGCACCCGAAATTACATTTTTTAAAGAGATCCCCCCATTCCCCGTTTTTTTTTTATTTAATTCGAATGTTCCTTTAAAATGTCAAGTGAACATTTCAAAAACTGTTGAAGATATAGCCGATTTATGGTGGAAACGTCAGGCGACGGCGAGAGCTTCTCAAAACTTTAAACGCGTTTTTCTCGAATCAGTATTTTTACGACTGGCGCATGAGGTTACTAAAAAGCTATTAATCCAATCGGTTCCAAAATTGAATACGTTATTCTATACATATATAGCTATTAGCATGAACTAGGATAAATCCAATCGGTAAAGATCTTCTTACTTTTCAACTTGATTTGTGGCTGAATTTTATAATCCTAGTTCATGCTATAGCCATACATGGACTCTTCCTAGTCCCGTTGGAATTTTTGGTTTCAGATGTTCCAGTGAACGGAAATCCCATACGCCGCCGAAAAGACAAAAAACAAAATGACAATAAACAACAATAAAAAACAAAAAAAATTTATGTTAAATTTTTTTCTTTTGTTTTAAGACTTCAAATAAATGAATGGAAAGATACAAGCCTAAAAATAATATATGTACATTTACCAGCCCATTGAAAATCGTCAAAATTTGAAATCGAGAATAGGGGGGGGTCCCCTTAAATAAAAATGTCTCAACGGTCGTCGATTATAAATGATTAGTTAATTGTATACTTTCAAAGCGAAAGACAGCCGTCTCACAATTTTGCACTTGCGAAATAAAAACACCAAAAGTGTTCAGTGCTATGAACATTTAATAAAGGCGTAACGAATTCACTTCAAAATTTAGTAGCCATGTACGGAATTGGCCCATGGATCAAGCGTGGATTACTCGGCTGGTGGGTCTGGCGCGGGTTCAGCCGGAGCCTCGGGCTCCGGTGCTTCGGGAGCAGGTGCCTCCTCCTTGGGCGCCTCTGGTGCGGCTTCCGGCGCAGCGGGCGGCGCAGCTGGCGGCGCAGGAGCCTCCACTGGTGCTTCGGCTGCTCCGGGTTCAGTGGCGGCCACCGCCTCGCCCTCGGCGGCTGGTGCTCCTTCTGCGGGGGCGACGGCGACGTCGGCGGCTGGGACTTCCTCCTCTGCGGCAGGTGCCTCTCCTTCCACTGGTGCCGGAGCATCGGCAGGAGCAGGAGCAGAAGCTGGAGCTGGTGCCGCCGGTGCCGTCGCTGATGCTGCTGTGATCGACTCCGCATCCACTGACTCTCGTATTTCGGAGCCCTTCTTGCTCTGTAAAGGATATGGAATAACATATAGTCAAGTCACGATTTCTTATGCAAACAAATAAATCATGGGATCACCAAAAAGGTATAAAAAGGAACCCCGAATTCTTCAGCATTAAATGCTACTTGGGAGCCAATAACGAGGGAAAATCCTAATGAAAGGGCCGACCATATATTACGCAATCATTAAGTGGGAATTGAAAAAGAACTAATTCCAGGGAATAACGTAATAATCTTAAAATTTATCTTAGTTTTTCGGATTGTTATTTGTAAATTCGATTAATTTATAATTTAAAGCACTAGCTTTTTAGGTACTCTCTCTTTTTGAAAAGATCTCTATTATTTGGTTTGGCGAATGATTAAGCAATCATTAAGGGATAGAGATATGTTCACCTGAGGACTGTGTTTGATTACATGGGGGAGGATCCCCCCTAGGGGAAATGTTTGACAGGACGACGACTAAAAGAGGACTTGTCTCAATCCCGCTGTCTAGAGGAACTCCGATTGCGACTTTGGAGAAGAGTCCCCAACATCGGAGATGCCTCAGCGCTCCACAGTTAAAGAGTGTGTTTGTAAGGGAGGGAATGGAAATTGTGGATCAACCAGACTCACCTTCTTCTTCTTCTTCTCGGGCTCTACAACGACCTCCTCTTGGGGCTTGTAGTCCTCCGGGAAGAACTTCAGAGCCTCGTCCTTGCCGACGTTCACGTTGGGACTCACGTAACTGGGACCGTAGGAGACCAGAGAGAGCATCATGTTGGACTGCGCCTTGTTCACCTTCAGCACGATCTTGTCGTTCCTGTAAATGGACAAGGGATGAGATTCGGTTAGGGTGGAACTCAATAATGAGGGAGTGGGAAATGGGAGGGTCCAATCCCGGCCAGAATACGCACGCGGAGTGCGGGCTGCCCTCGTATTTGTCCGTGGAGTTGGCAATCAACTCGGCCTCGTCCGGCTCGGCGCTGGAGAAGTATCCGTAGAGCGGGACGTCGTCCTTGTGCCGGTCGACCACGTGCATGATCTCCTTGCGCTTGGAGGCGTCGAAGGCCATGATGACGTGCGGGGGCTCCGGCTTGGGGTCCGGGGGCAGGAAGCCGGACGTCTGGCCGCGGAAGAAGACGTAGATGAGGGCGGCGTGGGTGCGCCGGTTGTTCGGCACCCAGATGGGCGGCACCTTGACCGTCTTGGTGCGGGTGAGTGGCTTCGGGGGCTCCTCATCCTTGACCTCCTGGACCTCCTCCTCGTCCTCGGCGATCTCGTCGCCGGCGTCCATCTCCATGTCGAAGCCGGGGATGGAGGGGAAGCCGCCCATTGCGTCGCCCGCGGGCTCGGGGCCTCCTCCTCGCTGGCCTCCTCCTCGGCGTCCAGATCGCCCGCCTCCTCCTCGGCGGGATGGACCTCCTCGTGGACGACCGACTTGGTCTTGCCCTTGGCCTTGGCCTGGAGCAGCCGCTGCTCCTCCTCGGAGCTGACCTCCTCGACCCACACCTCGCCCTCCTTCAGCTCGATCTCGATCTTGAGCTTCATGGTGGCGATGATGGGCGGGATGACGTGATCCTCGAGGATCTCGTCGTTCGGCGGCGCCACCCGCTCCCTGGTCAGCTCGTGGGCGTAGGCCATGAGCACGTTCGGCACGGTGCCGATGCTCTCGTCGATCTTCCAGAAGCACATCAGCAGCTCCTTGCCGTCCAGCTGCTCGATCACGTCCGGCGGCAAGGGGTTCTTGCATCCGAAGTTCACAACCTCGAACTGGTCGCTGGTCACCTGGATGACCCGGCGATCCTTGCACTGCATCTTCAGCGGCTCGGCGGGTTCGGTGAGCTTCTTGAACATGTCGCGGTTGACCTGCGGCCCGAACACCGTCACCCCGATGTCCGGCATGTTCTCCATGATGGAGTCCGTCACCTGGGTCAGGTAGTCCATCTGCTTCTTGTGCTTCACCTCGAACTCAGCCCGCTCGGCCCGCTCGATGGCCTCCATCTTGACCCGCAGCTGCTCCACCTCGATGGGCTGCAGCTCGTCCATTCTGTAGGCGATCGGCCTCGGCGCCTTCTGAACGACCTTCTCCAGTTCCTTCGTCAGCAGGGATATCATCTTGGGCACATCCGAGCCGAACATGATGTTCACGGCCCTGCCTCCCTGCAAGAAATTCGGGAGTATTACCGACCTTTACCAGCAGTAAAGCAGTCAACCCATTTAACTCCATTTCACTTCACAACAGACCCAACAAAACTTGGAGGGTTCGAACCCGGGTTCGAGTGTAACCCGTGACTAAGCTTCCTTTCGTTTTTATAAACACTGACCCTGATCGGCGAAACAAAATATGTTAAGTGTACAGTGGAACCCCGTTTATCCGAGGTAATGTGGAGAAGGGGTGCCGCGGATAATCGAAAATTGGGATAGCACGGAAGACATAAAGGATTAAAAAAATTCAATTATTTTCTACGTATTTTGAAAGGTTAAATCAAGATTAGTCGTAGAGGTATACAAAAACATGGCTGAATATAAAGGGAAGATCACTGATGAGGTTTAGGAAAATCTGTTATTGACCCCGGATAACGCGGAGGGCTGGATAATCGAAGGCCGGATAACCGGAGTACTACTGTATTTTCATTTTCAACATTGATTTTTTTAGTTGAATAAAATCAGAGACCGTAATAAATGAACTTTTTATACCCGTTACTCGTAGAGTAAAAGGGTATATTGTATTCGTGCAAAAGTATGTAACAGGTAGAAGGAAGCGTTTCCGACCCTATAAAGTATATATATTCTTGTTCAGGATCACTAGCCAAGTCGATCTAGCCATGTCCGTCTGTCCGTCTGTCTGTCCGTCTGTCTGTCTGTCTGTCCGTATGAACGCTGAGATCTCGGAAACTATAAAAGCTAGAAGATTGGCATTTTGCATGTAGATTTTAGGAGTTCCTACGCAGCGCAAGTTTGTTTCAAAAAGGTGCCACGCCCCCTTTAACGCCCACAATCGCTTATATACGATTTTAAAAATTTAAATATTTCGGAAAAGTAAAAATGCAGTTTTATTGTGTTTATCAATACCTATCGAAATGTAGAAGAAATTTTTCAATTCGGACCATTCGTTAAAAAGTTATGCGTGATCAAAGTTTCTATCTCCATCTCCCTCGCACTCCCTTTACCTGAGTAACGGGTATCTGATAGTCGGGGCACCCGACAAAATATAACTTCTAACTAAGCTATATATAAGTTATAATCTTTTTCAATTTATGACTTGTTAGTAGTTTTGTGATATGAAACAATATTGGTCATTGTTGATTTTTTTAGTTAAATAAAAGCAGAGATCGTAATAAATTATTACTTTTTTAATACAACAAATAACTTATAAATTAAGCTATATATAATTTATATTATATATATTTATTTTTTAAATTTATGACTTGTTAGTAGTTTTGTGATATGAAACAATATTAGTAAAAAAATCGTAAAATATTGATTAGTTTCATTTTGAGCAATAAGGGAAAAATTGTAATTTAACAATTACCACGTAATTATTATTATATAACTTTTAATGGTTACGGACCCTTAATTAAATAAGTTGAATCTAACAAATGTTTGAAATGTTGTTAATTTTTTTTGATAATAATAAAATATAATAAATTTTTTCTGCAGTTTCTACGGACCCCAAAGCATTCAGTGTATAAAAATGGGTTATATCTGTCAACAAAGCGGACTTATACCGACTGATCAAGCGGGATTGTATTGACTTACGGTCACGAAGAGCCAGATGGGCTCACTCCTCTTATTGAACCGCTTGAGGGATGTTATGGTGTCCGATTTGCACTATGTTAGACTCGGTTAAGGAGGGTTAGGTCGAAATAAAGGGACAGAATCACCCACAATGGCCAGATGCAGGTTGTCGCCGCCGATCTCCAGCTTGATCTTGCGCAAACTGCCCACCATTCCCAGGCAAGGTCCGCACCACTCCGAGTAAACATCCAGAACTGGGGGAGGGAATGGGTGGGGAGATGGTACGGTTTCAGGGCGGGGCAAGGTCACTACAAACCCAGGAGTCCCGGCCGTTCCATGAAGCGCTCGAGGTCCTCGTCGGTCTGGAGGTCCGCCTGCAGCTGTTGTTGTCCCCCCTTCTTCGCCATTCCCTACGTGGACTCTCCGAAAATTGGGCCGCCAATTTGCGAAATTTTTTTGAAATTTTTTCTAAATTTGGAAAGCCTGTGTTTTTTTTTTGTCAAATGCCAAGCCGAAACTAAATGTGCTATGAACTATTGATTAAACAAGGCGCTCCCCCCACTGCCACTCCCAGTTTCACTCCCACTTTCACTCCCACTGCCACTCCCACTTTCACTCCCACTCCCACTTACCTTGAGCTCTTGCTGTTGCATTGAATAAAGTGGGGCTGCCATCAATCGTAATAAATTAGTCAACCACAATCGTTTAATTGTTCGTAAAATTAATGCTTTTTACACACATTGGCGAGTTCTTACACATTGCATAACAAAACTGTTCACTCTCACTACATAGTTAAAATAATTTAAACAACACAAACAAATACGAGTATGGATGGGGCGAGGAGTGTCCCTGGCAGAGGACATCCCCGGCTCGTGGTCCGGATTCCCACTCGACAAGTCGATCTCAGTACATGGGCTGTAGTAGGTACGCTCGCTTAGATACGGTAATGGTATATGGTAAGTATAGATTACGGATAGACCTATTCGTAGGGGGCTACGGTACATGTGCATGGGCATGGGGTGACCAAGTTTTAGCTTTAGGCGAACTACGAGTAACTCAACACCTCCCTTAAACAATTAATATGTACAGTTATTAACACACAACGTTGCTGCCACACGGTGTCGCCTCGGAGCCTCGGAGCTTTGGAGCCTCCTCTACCTCACGGAAATCCCGTTGATGGTAATCACGTTGCTGGCCACCGGCTCCGGCTCGTAGACCTCGTCATTGGAGCGCATCTCGTAGGGAGCGTCGTAGAACTGCTCGTTTGGTATCTGGTCGTATATGTTCTCTGCGGATAATAGTTAATAGTTGCCTTATTAGTGAGGAGGACGTGCCCCAATGGGATGTTCACCCACCTGACCGATTGTTGTTCAGCCTCTCCCCGTTGCCCGTGGCACTGGCATCGGGAGTGCCGGCGCCATTGGGGCGACCCGCTCCACCGTGGAACGTGTTGAACGTGGCCGAGGGATTGTTGTCCATGTGCATGCGGTTGTTCGCCTCCAGCGTGGAGTAGGACATCACGGCCGCGTTCCGCTCGTCCTTCGTCTCCGCCGCCTGCACGTTCTCCGTGTTCTTCACCGGACGCGCCTTGTTGCGGTACAGGAAGATCAGGCCGAAGATGGCCAGCAGGGCCACGATCACGGTGGCCCCGATCCCCACGCCGGTGCCCAGCTCCGAGCTCTCGTGCCCCTCGGCGGTGGCCAGCTCGCAGTGCGGCTGCTTCCCGCTCCAGGCCCCTTCCTCGGTGCACTTGCGCAGGTACTGCCCGATCCGGTTGTAGTTCGGGATGCAGTGGTACTCCGCGGAGCCGCCGTACAGCGTCGACTCGTTGACCACGATCACTCGGCCGTTCTCGATGGCCAGTGGGCGTCCGCAATCGACGGCTGAAAAGGGGAAAGAGGGGTCAATTACTCAGGGAATACTCTTGAGAGGGGACATTTCTATGGAGACTCATTTCTCTTATGGCTTCTTAAATTTTAAACGAGGACGGAAGCTAACTTCGGCAAGCCAGAGTTTTAATACCCTTGCAGACATATAAAAATAGAAAATGAGGGATATTTTCACAGCTTTTAACAATTATTCCTATGGAATCTATCTATCTATATATATCTATATATAGACGTCCGATCGGCAAGCGCTTTTACCCTGATCATGGTATGCGTAAATAAATATGACTTGGAAAAATTGATGTCAATAGCTTAAGCACTGCGCGACATAACCTTAAAAACATGAAATTTTAACCGATTTCACCCTATTGTTCCTATGGGAGCTATAGCATATAGACGTCCGATCGGGGCGCTTTTCAAACTTGATCTGCGTGCACACGTTTTAGGGCGACTGTGAAAGTTTCAGATCGCTAACTTTTAAGCTGAGCTCGCAAACGGTATTGAAACTGACGGACAGACGAACATGGCTATATCGACTCCCCTATTGATCCTGATCAAGAATATATATACTTTATGGGGTCGGAAACGTCTCCTTCACTGCGTTACAAACTTCTGACCAAAATTATAATACCCTCTGCAAGGGTATAAAAATATAATCTCTTACCGGCCTTATTTTCTATTGCACGTATTCGGTCCAAACTTTATTCAGGTAGCCTAACTAAATATAATTTCAACTCATTTCAGGTACAACGATTATAAGTTTTAGGTATATTTTTGACAATGCGGTCATTATGAATGCTTATATTTTAAAAAATCGTCATATAAGCAAAGGGTGACAAAAACTTTTTGGTCTTTACTAAAGACGTTTTCTTTATTTTGTGGTACATCATCATAATTTTAAGCCGTGTTTATTTAATAAAAAAGTGCTAGAAACAGCACAATTGAAGATTTAAATAATGGCGAATATTGATCGTTCTATTTAGTTTCTTAATCGAAATACATTTTTATTAAGTAAACCTATATTCTTATATGTTGTTTTAAGTTTACTATAGAAAAACCCATTATCTTTAAAGAAATAGTATTATTATATTCTGCAATTTAAAATATACAGGCGAACTAAAAATTAGCTGTAGCTACAAGGGGTTAAGCTATGACCAAATTAAAACCTTATTCATTCTGTGGAAATTTTTCTGATCTATTATAATTATTATTTCAGCTGAATTTAAAACAATGTGTATCTATTTAAATTTGTGAAAACACCATAGGTGTTATCCTGTTCGGAGTGTACTTACGTCTGCAGGTGGGGCTTTTGCCGGCCCACTTTCCGTTTTTCTGGCAGACGCGCGTGTCGTTGCCCATCATGATCCTGCCCTTGGAGCACTTGAAGGTCACCACCGATCCCACGGCCCGGGGTCCGGCCTCCACGATCAGGTTCTCACTGATGTTGGGCGTGTCGCAGACCACCTCCACGCACTCGGGCGCCTCGTGGCTCCAGTTGCCGTGCTCCGTGCACAGGCGGCGGGACACCCCGCTCAGCTTGAAGTTGGCGAGGCACTCGTAGAGCACCGCGGCTCCATAGTAGGTGGCGTTGGTGGCCAGGACCACCTTGCCGTTGTTAATCCCCTCGGGCGCTCCGCACTCCACGTCTAAAAAGGAGAATAATGATAAGAATTTGGTATATACAAAGTATACGGACATAATGCCTTTCTTTCATATTATTAGAGTCAGAAAAGTTTGAATAGATACAGTAGCGAAATTTAAATAGCATCGCGGTAATACTATTAGAAATAATGACAAAACGATTTAGTAATTGTTTAATTGAAATTCACGATAACGATTCTTAACCTACAAGGAGTTTTAGAGTCGTGAATTTATTTACGAGAGGAAATTAATATAATTAAGTTAATTTAACACGCGAAATCGCTCGCGTTTTTAATTTTGGTAAAACTAACTTTGCTTCTTATACTATGTGTAGAAGAAAGATTATTTCGATGCCTAATTTCTCTAGTTTTCGAGATATAAGAGGTTGGGCAAAACAATTTTTCTAATATTGGCATTACTGTTTACATAGGGCCCCTTAAATGTTATATATTGTAATATGTGAGCTCTGTTTGAGCCTGTAGGATATACATCGTAGGCATACTAATTTTTAAATGCTATAAAATAAACGAATAATATATAAATATCTATAATAATAAAACAAAAATAAATTTGTGTAGCCTTTAGACAGGTATACATACATACCTCCTAAGTTAAACCGCATATGCATTAAAATGTTACATTTATCTTTTGAACTTCTTCAATACGCAAACAAAGTCCACTAAATATCCCAGCCCTTAGCTCTCTTTTTCGCACTCTCCCCTACTATAGAATAATAAACTTGAAATAGTTAAGGGAAATAACTATTCGAGATTTTGCAGATTGAACTGCGCTCTTTCGACAGCTTTGGGTTTAGAACTAACAAAATAAAGGATTCCTAAAATGAGTAAATGTTTCCCATAAATTTAGTTCGATGATATAACACTTTAATAAACTAAGAAAATGTTTTGAAAATCGAATCAAAATCTCTGAGTTCCATATAACAATCAAGCAGAGCTCGCAAATAACTGTCGACCGTTTCTCGTTGTCTGCAAATAAGTGTCTTTTGCTGACTCTCTACGAAAAAACTCAGAGAGCAACCGACTTATGGGTTCTTGAATGAGCTCGCTCGCGCTCAGAGCGAAACCGTTATTTTATATACTGTTTTGTTCTGGTTGTTCCAAGACCGTTATGTCGTGTTCAGTGAAGAAAAAGGACTTTTACGTATGTATTGGTATACATCCACACGCATAGGCAAGCAAATCGTTAAGCGAATATGGAGTCGAAAGCTTGTTATCAAAAATATTTACAAATAAATGTTAATTTCTCTATTAAACCAATTATATTATTTCTTTTTCACAACAACGAAAGTAAATGTGAAGACCGTTTGCGTTGAGTTTTGGCTATCATACTCACAGACACATTCCGGGATACTGCCGCTCCATTGGCCACTATCCGTGCAGGTGGCCAGGGCCTCGCCCACCATCTTGTAGCCCCGTTCGCATCGGTACTTGGCCAGGGCGCCAATTCTGAAAGATGGCCACAACAATTAGGAGGGACTGGGGATGGGCAGGATGGGAACACTCACTTGTACGTCTGGGCGGTGTTCTGCGAGGACTCGGAGGTGCGGATCAGGGTGCGTCCGTACATGCGGTCGTTTCCGGTGACGGAGAGCAGACTGTGCGCGGCCAGCTTTGGTTCCGGGCAGCGAATCTCTGAAGGGAGGAGCACATTGCATGATCAGCTGGTTAGAGGGGGACTTCCCCATCGCCTTACCTTCGCACTTGGGCGACGTGTCGCTCCAGATCGCCGACTCCAGGCACTGCCGCTTCAACACCCCGCTGAGCTTGTGCGACTGGGCGCAGCTGAAGACCACCTCCGATCCCACGTAGGTGCTGTTGGTCACGTACTTGTGGCTGCCGAAGGGGATGGGCAGGATCTGGCCGCAGTCGATGTCTAGTCGGTAAAAAAAGAGGTAACTATTAATTTGCGATCTCCGAGATTTGCGGGATTACAAAGTAAATTCAGTAAATAATCACGATCACCAGCATAACGTGTCAGGGACTAAAAATAGACCTCAACAGCATAGTTTATGGAAATGCTATTGGCTTATAGGGATATGTCATTCACTTAATAATAAATATATTGCCTAATTAAAACTCATGATACAGGGTTTTAATATAAACAATATATACAATTTAGAAATAGTTGATTTTAAATAGCTTCACCCTTTCTATGAAAGATGTTGAAGTCTACAATTTGCTATAATGGTGACCGGAATTCACTATCACCGCACTCTTCACATTCATGACAGCATTTGAACGCTGTCACCTGCAAGTCCGCGTTGAAGTAAAACCTGAACAACAACTGCCATTTTTGACCATTCCACTTATAGTTAAAAATTTATGTTATTTCTGTTTCTAGTTAATGGTTTGTTATACCCGTTACTCATAAAGTACAAGGGTAAATTGTTTTCATTCGAAAGTATGTTAAGGTAGAAAGAAGCGTTTCCGACCCTATAAAGCTTATTGAGCTATTAAGCCATGTCCGTCTTTCTGCTCGTCTTTCTATCCGTCTTTTTGTCCGTCTTTCTGTCCGTCTTTCTATCCGTCTTTTTGTCCGTCCGTCTGTATGTCCGTATTTCTGTCCGTCTTTCTGTCCGTCTCCCTGTCCGTCTTTCTGTCCGTCTTTCTGTCCGTCTTTCTATCCGTATTTCTGTCCGTCTTTCTTTCCGTCTTTCTATCCGTCTTTCTGTCCGTCTTTCTGTCCGTCTTTCTATCTGTCTTTCTGTCCGTCTTTCTGTCCGTATGTCCGTCCTTATGAACGTCGAGATCTCGGAAATGAAGATGAAGGTTCTAGGTTTATAAATAATGAACTATAATGAAAACCGATGTCACTGGCATTGCTTTCCATTAACGCTAATGAAATGGCCAATTTATTACAACAGTAATGCGTCGCTCACAACTCTGATGAGCTGTGTTTGTTGGCATCACTTATTAGATATTTGGCGTTATCACGGGGAAAGCCCACAAATTCTGAACAGAGGTTTTTCCATCTCACTCCAGAACAGCTTATGGTCTAATCCTTGGACTTACATTCGCAGTAGGGCGCGTCGGCACTCCACTCGCCGCTGTCCAGGCACTCGAGCACCGGGGTGCCGTGCATGATGTGGCCGGGGTCGCAGTTGTACTGGATCTTCGAGTGGACGTTGTAGTCGTACCCGATGACGAACGACCCGGATGGAACGGGGGGCGTCTCGCAGGTGACCAGTTCGCAGACGGGCGCCTCGCCCGACCACTTCCCGTCCCGGGTGCAGTACAGCTCCGAGTTCCCGTCCAGCCAGTAGTCCTCGTCGCACTCGTACTTCACCACCGAGTTGACGGTGGTGGTGCCGTTCAGCAGGATCGCAATACCGCGGTTTGGCCTGGCAGGAGCCCCGCAGTCCACGAATCTGCAGGACGGGGGCTTGCTCGACCACTCGCCTCCCAGTCCGCACGAGATGATCTAGGATCAGAAACGGGAAAACCATTAGGGCCTGGACCATGGAATAGGTCAATCTGAACCTACCGCCTCGCCGACCAGCACATAGCCCGGCTCGCAAACATAGGTGGCCGTGGATCCAGCCCGCTTGTCGCTGAACCGCACATTGCCCCCGGTGATGGGCTGCGGATCCGGACACCAGTCCACCAGGCACTCCGGCTGCTTGCCGCTCCATCCGTCGACGGCACAGGTGCGGTTCTCATTGCCGATCAGCGTGTAGTTCTCGTGGCAGCTGTACGTGGCCACCACGCCAAAGCTGGTCCGCTCCTCCGACTTGTGGATGGACCCGAACTTCAGCTCCGGAAGGCTGCCGCAGTCCACGTCTGCGGAAAATTAAAGGAATTGAAGATCAGACAAGGGAGAATCATTAAATCTAAGATTAAAAGGCTACATTACACATATGATGCACACACAGTGCAAGCGTACAGTACATGAGTTAAAATACCTAGAAAGTAAATAGTTTTTAAACTTGATCTCCGCTAGCATAGCAACTAGAAACAATAGACTAGTCACATTTAAATACGTTAGAGAAGTATTTAGGAAGGCAAATCAGGCGATGTTACTTTTAAATTGAGAGATGCGAAAAGAAATTAAGTAACCATTCTCAGAAATATAGTTAAACAAACGAATGCCAGGGCTGACTGAATATGCCATAAGCAATCAATTAAGAGTTTAACAATCTGTATATAATATATATTATCTTATTATTATTATATTGTATAAAAAATAAATAACACAAGGAACAACAAATTAAAACTTGGTTTGGTTCGAAAAATGTTGATTTAGACCAGCTGATCCCACTACCCAATATAATGGGCATGAAAGTGTCCCTAATTGTTTAATGTTAAAGTCGACTGTAAATTGAGATGGTTAGAGCTACAAGGGTATAAAAACCACATTATTGAAACTTTTATGTACTCATTTAAGTCAACAATCCAAAGTCTCCTATGCTAAAAGTGCATTTCGAGCGAGCTTCAAACAAAAGCGCTAAGGCCAGCCATTACATAACGTCGCTTACACTTGCACGTCGGCGAGGAGCCGCTCCAAGTGCCGTCCAATCTGCACTCCCGTTCCGTCTGACCGAGCAGCGAGTGGCCCTTGGGACAACTGTATTGGATCGTCTCGCCCAGAGTGAACTTTTTGCCCATGACAGTGGTGTTTTGCTGGGCATCCGGCGAGCCGCAAGACAATGGAGCTGCCGGAAGAAGACAAGAAGGTGATTGGTGAACACACGGCACACGGCACTGACATCGGCACCGCCGATCCGGAGCACCTACAGTGTTGACAGATGAAGTGCAGGTAGTCCAGGTTGCAGCCCACGTCGTTCCACAGCCAATTCCGCCCTCCGTCCAGCACCACGCAGTTCTGCTCGCCATTGTAGTTGTTCGGCTGGTCCTTTCCCCAGGTGGGCTTCTGCACCACATCCCCTGAAAAGAGCAAAAAAACATGGGATAGTACCCAAGTTACAAGGATATGTTTCATACATTGGGATATAATAATCAGTTGAAGTCATACAAATGACTAAGAGAGAATTTGCAGAGTGTTGAATGGGATAATCTTAGAAAATGGGAAATTGCATTATACATTTTGATAAGGCTTTTATTATTGCTAGCTTCCTACCTCTTTACCTCTCTACTTCAATATATTCATCTCTAACCAACATTATAAACATATTTATAAAAAAAGATTTTAAAAATAAAGAGTAAAAATAATATATAAAAATGTAGCTTGTATAGATCACGATTTTGGGTAATTAATAAAGAATTGAAAGGTGAGAAATACGTAAATGTCTGAACAAGTTAAGAAAAGGTGCGTTAAGAATTGTATGGTTGTTAATTGAAAATAATTTTATTTCATTTGTGTTTCATTTAAGTAATTAAAAAGTTATTTTTATAAAAATCAATTTTTGTGTAAAGGCCTTAAATTTTGGTAATTTGAATTTATTAAAAGCAACAAGTAAATAAAACATTGGTAAACTAGGTATAACAAAGATATTATTTTATAATTTGTGGTGTTTGTTTTGTCTCAACATATCAATATAAAATTGAATGTCAGCGGCGATTTGCATATTATGAATCTAAAACTGAAAAATAACAATATGTTTATCCAAGGCTGACGAATCACAAAGTCGTCATCGGCAAAATATACATATGTATGCAAATTAAGGTGGTCAGACAAATAAAAATTATACTATCACCGTTAAGTGAGGTAGATTTTATTGTTCAAAATATGTAATGGAAAACCAACTAAAAACGTTGTTTTGGGCGTCTCGGAATATTCTCAAAGTTGTTGTAAAAATTACTCATACGTCACTGAATGGTAGCTAGAATAAGTGGTTTGATCAAAGGCAACAATGCGTATGAGTGATAAGCTCTGAAGTCAGTCAGGTTCTGTCACCCATAATGCATTTTATCCGAAATGCTCTCCTTGTGGAAAGACTCAAATGCACAAAACGGGTTTAAACACAAGTGGTTGGGAGTAGCACATTAACATTTGCATACTAATTTCTGTGCATATATACTCAATCGATTGTAATCGCTTGCGAAATCGATGCTGGGATTCACTTACCGGTGACCCACTTCCAGGTGCGAGAGGTGATGCCCGGCTCCTTCTGGGCACCGATCCAGACCAGCTGCGGCTTCAGTTCGCTCTTCCGGCGCTCCAGCTCGGACAAGATGTATTGGCTGGTGGCGCCCCGAAAGTCGTGCACCAAGTCGCCACCTGCAGCGAGGGAAGGGTACACATATGAGTAGTGGCATGCCACCAGGTGAACAACCCACCTGTCTGCTTGCAAATGGCCTGCGCCTTCTCGAAGCTTTCTCCTTTCGTGATATGAAAGTCGTAGCAGGTTTTCGAGAATGTCGTCACCACTGTGTCCACGCCGAGCTTGGGACTCAGGCAGCGGTCGACGGAGAACTCGTCGTTGGTGAAGGTCTCCACCTCGCACAGGCTCAGGCTGCCCTCCACGCCCACCAGCTGGATGGCCACGTACTGGCCGACGAGGGGGCGGGCGCAGGTGAAGGTCTTCACCACGCCCTCGTCCAGGGTGCCCGGGTACCAGGCGCACAGCGGGTTCCGCTGCAGGTCCGCGCTGCTGTTCCCCACCCGGATCTCCAGGTCCTGCAGCGGCTGGTGGCCGCAGCAGCCGCGCGTCGTGATCCGCACCACGTGCACCGCCTGCGGGGTCAGGAGGTCGACGCGCCACCACGGCGACGGCTCCTTCTGCGTCTCCGAGCACTCCTGACCGTCGGGATTCTGTGGGAGAGATACGAGATCAGCATATTTTCTAGGGGCTTTTAGACCAATGTAGTTATAATGTATAATGCTTATTAAGTTTGGAGTCTCGGAGATAATATTTGATAATATTACACATACGCCATGTTGGCTATGTGTGTAGCAACATGGCAAAGAAAAGTTTGAGTTGAAGAAAGATTTCTGTCAGACTATTTAAATTGTTTTGTTGCCAATACCTTTGATTGCCATATGTAATAATACAAATATTCGATAATATTACACATCCGCCATGTTGGTTCTGTGGGTAGCATCATAACCAACATGGCGTATGTGTAATATTTTCGAGTATTTGTTTTATTTCATTTGTCCAGAAAAGGTAGTGGCAAAAACAATTTAAATCGGCTATCAACTCAATCTTTTCTTAAAAGATCAAGTATATTCTGCGGCTAGACATAAGAGTGCGACATTGTGTTTCGTTCCTAAAGAGAATAGCAAAGTTTTTAATTTGTTTTGTACAAGCTTACAAAAATTACATTTTTTCACAATACTTTAGTTAATTTTATTTCTAAAATAATAATGACACGTTACTACTTAATCTAAAATTGAATAATAATTATAAATGTAATAAACTTTTGTAAATAAAACGTATACTAGGAATTGTTTTTTTACATAAAGCAAAACCCTCTAGACTTTATTTAATGTTACGTTCAATTTTGGAACAACAAATCTGTTTATCAAACATCTGTTTTGAATAAATTAGCATTTAGCATTGGCAAGCAAAATGTTTTTATATAGGAATCTATCTGAACACAACAAAATTAGCTTGATCAAATTGACATAGTTATAAAGCTATACAAAATGACACATAGTAACGTAGTATTAAAAGTTTTTCGTTGTTTATTGGCTTACTCCTTTAAATTAAACCATTTGCGTATTTTGTTTTTGCATCTAAACTCTTGAAGAGTTTTAACTATGAAAAATAGTTGTTCCAAAGTAAAAGGTAACGTAAAGTCACACTAACTGGAAGCCAATGGCACCCACACCTTAAAATGGTGTGGGATAAACTTAGTTTTGGAAATGTTTTTTTTACAATTAAGGAATAAAATAAATAAATTTCTCCTTGAATATAAGACTTACTAGTTTAAGGTAACGGTACTATTAATAGATGATTTACCATTTTCGTGGTCAAAACAGTTTACTATTAATTTTAACTTTAATCTTTGGGTAAATAACAATGTTTAATAGTAACCCTTACGTACTACGTAACGTATTGTGTAAGAGTAACTATTTCTATTTGATTAACCATTATCCATCGGTTAAAGAATTATTTGTTGGTCAATTTGGCCAATCTATTTTTTGAGTGTATTTTACATACCTAAACAACCTTTCATAACTAAAGATATGTTTGCAATACCTTATGCCACATACCTAGTCAATCTGTCATAGTTTAAGATAAGTTTCCAAACCCATATTAAAGGATATTGGAGTGCGGGGACTCACCTTGTTCCCCGGCTTGCCATCGTTCGCGTAGCTCGCAGGACCGCTGCGGGTGTAGGAGCTCTGGTTGACGGGCTTGCGGTAGGCCACGTTGACCCCGCAGAAGGGCAGGTCCCGCTCCCAGCCCGTCCGGGGGTCACACTTGACGGACGCCGAGCCGAACAGCTCGTAGCCGGCATCGCACTCGTAGTGCGCCTCCGCGATCTGCGAGTCGGCAGTGACGGTTCGCACCTTGGCATTCAGCGGCACCGCTGGCGGACCGCAAACTGGAAACAAAGAGCAGAAAGTATAATATAAAGATACAAACATGACAGAAGAGGTTTCAATTTTAAGCTCGAATGTCCCCGCAATACACTGAGCGAACTAGCTTTGACGCCAGCAAGTATTTTTCAAATATAATTCAATGCCAACGCCCTTTCCCATTTCACAAACAATGCTTTCCGAATACGGGTTGCATACATCATTTGCACAATTTGTTCTTAATATTAGATTATTTACTACTTAAGTTATATACTTTTAACATAATTTGTGTTTTTCACAGCTTTATGGAATAACTTTTGTTTGAACGTTGTAGTTTATCGATCCCTTTATGGTCCTAAATATAATATCTAAAGGGTATAAAATTTATCTGACATTCAGTAATAATGAGCCTTGATTATTGTTGTGCTCTTGCGATACTTTGTCGATAACCCAAAAATACCAGGATTATCGGTAATCTAAGTAAGTGTGATGAAAGTTAAGTGGAAAAATCGTTTTGTTATAGAAGAAATTAAAATGTAACCAACGTATGACCTTGAGTAATGCTGCAATCAGTTTTAGTAAGGAAAGGGCATCAAATAAAATTTAATTCGTTTAACAATCGCAATCACCGGATAATGTCGGTTTTCTATTACAAAAGCATAGTCTTACATGCTGGTTTTACAAGCAAGTTTACATGTTTTTTAAAATCGTTATTTATTTCGAAAATATCTTAAAAATTTGACTTCGGAAAGATTTGCTGAGGGTTCTCTAGGTTTGAGAGAGGAATCCAAAATTAATTAGTTGTTTTTGAAAAACCATTTTGGTTATCGTAAAAATAATTGCGATTTGATAACGTTATAGGTATTGGAGGATGGATCTGTCTTGACTAATTGAAGGGCAAGGGTAAACAAGTATGTAAGCTTATATGTAGGCAGATAAGGTTTCGTCAGAAGACTACTACCGAAAGCTCTGTTCTAGCTAAATACTTGAATCAATTTTTGCAATGACTGCAAAGAACCGTACATGTACTTCAGGTTGGGAATGGTCCCTTCTAGTTTTTTTGATTTATAAGATTCGAGGATGCAGTTTTATATGCCACCAAAGTCACACAAATCTAATTAGTTTCAGTCATATAAAGTATTGGTTCATCTTTCGAACTAATTTTACAAAATTGACTTTACTTCATTGCGTATTTAACGCTCATATAAAACAGGAAAGGAAGCAAACTTCGGCAAGCCAATGTTTACAAATCTACTGCTGTTGTACATTTCGATTTCTGTGCCTCCTCCACTGCGTTGCAAACTTTTGACTGAAATTATAATACCCTCTGCAAGGGTATAAAAACCAAAACAAATGGGTTTATCTGGTCCGATATTGTATTGCAATTTGGTATAACAAAATGAATTCCGTTGAAATGCATGTAAACGATATCTCATCAAATTAATATATGCAGATAAGCATTACAGGGTGGAAACCGATATCTTGGCAAATTAACATATGAATGAAAGAGGTTTTTCTTGCACTCTCTGTTAAAAGGGTGTACAAAAATATTTCGAGCACGGGGAGCCAAAAAACCAGTTAATTCGGAGCTTGCTGGCCAATTCCTTATATAGAAGTTCGCAAAAATCCCGCCTCTTTGCGCTTATTTCTGCGTGGGTATTTTCTTTAGCTCTCACCTTTGTTTCCCCTGACCCGTGCAAGACTATTTTTATTTTATAAACGAACAGTTTGAGCTAAGAACTTGTGAAAAGTATTTTTCCTATTCCCATCATGAATATGCAGGAGCCTGGGCCCATGTATATTTTCTGAAATTCAACGTTCACACAATTGTTTCTCCCCAAATGGTGAGCAAGCGGCTAATTCTCAAAAAGTGTACATAGTTATGTATATTTGGGCCTCAGTAGTTTCATCGAGAATTAAGTGGCCATTAGTGGACCAGCGAAGAGTGCGAAACGGTTTGCAAACTTGTTTAGTGGCCAAGTCAAAGGGCCAGAAACAAAAGCCAGTCTGTCTCCAAGGAGAACCGATTTCCGAGGCGAAAAGTGGTTACGAAATCCGGAATGAGGGCTGTGGCCTAGTTATTTATGCGCTTGCTGCTTTTTTCTGTAGTTTTGGTTTTCATATACTCCCACAAAGAGCGGCACCTGCAGCTCAAATCTAACAGTTTTTTTATTGGTATAGATTTGAGCCGATATTTTGATATCAAATTGAGTACATACATAAAACAACACTGTGGGGCTTTGGTTTTATACTTCTCAAGTAAACTCAAACTTCAACGATAAAATCAAGATCTTTTCATACCCTTTATTATAGGAATAAAAATTCTGACACTATCACTTATTTTGTAATACCTTCTCTTGTCAATTACGAACAACTAAGCATATTTTTCACATCAGTGAATTGCAAAATGTGAAGGCATTAAATATTTTTCCCATATTTTGAAACCTTTTTCATAATATGTGCACTTTTAAAAATTGTTGTTCCATTTTACATTCCTTTATCCCTACGAAAATAAAATTTATCGATGAGTACTTTTAGAATCCGATGTGCAAATTACCAAAACTCTAAAAATGTTGAACAGTTCAAAATTGTCTCTTTTTACGCTAAAAATAATTTAATTTATTTGGAAAAAATTGAATGGGTATTAAAATGAAAGTCAACATATAAGATTAAGAAAGTAAAATATTGCTCTTAAATGTAATAATTCTTAATTCGGATTTTCTAAATAACACATTTTATGTTTTTAGTACATATAATTTTATGTTTTTACTCAGAGACATAAAAAAATGTTACATTAAATATTTCGATCTTTAAATTTAAAATGAATTACCATTAAACAATACTTGGAGATTGTTATTTGAACAAAATGATTAAAAACGTCATAATGGGCGGTCCTATATTACGTCATAATAGTTTTAACGTTTATTGACACCCCTTACCCTAATGTTATTCGTCATACAAAAATATCCAACAAGTCTATAGACGTATAGACGTCATCTTGCTGAACCTTTTCGTAATGTAATATATGGACGAATAGATGTGAAGGATACAACTAAATAAATAGTTTTTTAATGTTTTAAGAAACATTATTTACAAAAATGCACTGCAATAAAAAGTCCTTTTCTTAAATACGACACATATTTCCAAGCGCATGAGTCTCACCAAGTAATGTGTAACAGTATTTGAATAAAAGAAAGAAAAAATTCGGTATAAAGAAAATCTGTTTATAAGTAAGGGGTCCTTTTAGCACCCTAAATACCCTAAACTAGGTTTAAATGAATAATAAATAAGAAAACCATATATTATTAGGTAATGACAAGCTTTACGTTAAATAAGTCCATCATGAATCAACATATTTATAAATGTTTACATATATATGCATGTTTTGAAGAAAGTGATACCTAACCCAAGATGAAAATAAAATTTATTAGTTTTCAAGCAAGAAAATTAAGCCGGGATGACTGTCAAGAGAGAAAGGGAATAGTTTGAAAGTGTTCTGTAAAAATTCTTTTAAAACAATGACAGGATTCAAAGTAATTATTTCAAAATAAATACAAGGGAACGAAATTGTTTCTTAAGAGTTTAACCTTAGATTTAGTAGTGAACGGTCTGTAATTGAAGATTTGGTTACTTATTTGTAACCTTTCCAAGTTAAAGTGCATTTATATAAGTGATTCTATAATTTGTTTCCGTATATGTGACCAAAATACAAACACCTTAAAAAACAACGAAGAGTTTTTCATTTTTATTTTCCTACCCATAAAAAAAGAAGCATTTTAAACCTTACTGGCTCACACTTAAATAACAAATAGGAACGCTACATTTGAGTGTCCAACTATCAAATACAATTTCATAACAATGATGAATTTATCTGATATTTTACATAACGAGATAAAGCATCATAGAACCAAAAGTCCAGTACTCGAGATATAGGACAACAATGGTTTTTAATCCGATCAAACTTAAGGGATATATATTTTTAAAAACAACTACATTTAATACTTAACAGTAATAATACATACATAATAATACTTAATACTTTATAATACAAGGAGTAAAAGAGCGAAGCCGGTCTAGTGTATACTCGTATATTTACTATATACATATATGACGTATGCAATAAGCATATTAACATTAGCTAATACATTTGCCTTGCATCTAGAAGGGCTCAAAAGCTGCGGGTTGCCGAAATCAGCTTTATTTCTTGCTTTAAATTGAAAACAGTTAGATCTCGTATTCTTTGGAGATGTTAATGCTTCGCACGAGAATTTTGCATATGCGCGTTCTTCGGAGTGGTGGTGGCTTGGAACTAAGCCATCAATATTTTCGGGCTGCAGCTGTTGAGAAAAAGCGGCTTTGCGAAAAAAAAAAACTTAGCGCAGCTGCCACGATGATGTTATTTTTTCCCAACAGCCAAAAAGCTGTTATTGTTATGAGTTTTGGTCGCATTCATCCGGTTTTACTGGTGTCAATGCTCTTCCTACACACTCCGATCCACCCTCCTCCTCCGAGAAGGGAGATTTCTGGAAGGGCGTGGCAGGCAGCGAAATCGAAATGAAGGAAATTGTGTTTAGAGTCACAGAATGCATCGCATTATTCAGACTTGATTTGAAAGACCCACAGTGGGTATCAGGGATCAAGAGTGTATATTAAATCAATAAGGCACAGTATGCGAACATAATTTTATACACTTGCTGAGGGTATTCAAATTTAAGTCAAAAAATTGATACGCAGGGATATAGTTTATATTTATAAAGTATTTTTGTTTTTGATCTGCATCAACAGTCGAGTACATGTCCGCCATGTCCGTCTAATTTTAAAAGTATCAAAATAAAACTATACAAAAAGTGTCCTTTCCATTAAAAGTTACTACCTGTATGAGTCAGAATGGGCCGGATCCCATGAGCATATCAAAAACATAATTTAAATATACTTGAAAATATATTTTTAAAAAATCAGAAAAACGGTTATAGTTTTCATTAAAATCCGACGACTTATCATGTATCTGGCATAAGAACGATTGCTCAATTTATACGGAAGTCCACGAAAATATGCACAACTTATATTGACATTTTAGTTAAAATAGTATGTTTTTAATTTCATAAACTTCGGACGACCATATCATATAGCTGCTATAAGAACGTTCGAACAGTTACCATAAAAAACTACATAGCTCTGTTGTTTTGAAACATATAAAATCGATATACGCCATACGCCATACGCCATTAATCATAATGTTGGTCGTTTTATAGAATAATACTTTTCATTTTAGTGTTAAGCAATACTTTTTCGAATTCTTACATTTTTTAAGGTAAAAGATAAATCAACGTTTTGTATTACCAGTACAAAAAGAGTATTTTACCTTTTTGAACTTCCAAATTGCCAGCAACCATTTTTGTTTGTTTTCTGAATTATTTCCCGAAATAGGGTTCTCCGATCCCACTATGCTATTGATGATTCAAAACTATTGCTATTGCTCTTTCCCTCGGGTCCATTTTTTTTTAGCTTCACGGATCTTAAGTCAAGGATTATACACGCTCAAGGTCTTAAAAAAAAACGCTTAAAAATAGTATTTTTGAGAGCGGGAAGGCTTCTCTGCCCAACCTCGAATATCTACAATACATATTTAAATACCCTATTTTACCACTAACAAACATCTAAGTTAGGCAATTAAAATAAACTTTTGATTCCATTGAATGCAAATCCAGATAGGTTTTCTGACCTCACGACTGACTTGCGAAAAGATCTGGTTATTGGTGTTTGTGAGGTAAATACCTAAATATGACACTGTTCGTCGATATGTTTACTGTTAGAAAGGTGCCCCGATTGCCGATGTGACAACATCGGGAGTCGATCATCCAACGCCAATCGCCAAGGGAAATTGTAATTTGGCGCACGTAGGGGGGCGCAATACCTGTAAGCTCGTAAACGCGGTGAAATGTACAAACGCAATCACGTATTGCAAGACAGTAAGACAGTACGACGGCAATACGGCAAGTCGACGACGACGTGAACTTGTGAAACTTTGAGGCTTGAGGTAAGAATGTCACAAGCAAAGTGGCTTCCTCAAGACGACGACATGGCCAAGACTCGAATACATCAGCGCAGAAGTCGTTCAACCACACCGACTGAGCCCGAACTGGGAAACTTTCACTGCTTCTCTCCAGCTGGCTGTCCATTTCACCGCCCCTCCCTCCACGTGACCCAAAAGAGTTAGCCCCATTTATTCCCTTAAAACGCAAACAGGCCGGTGCCATCCGCTTATGTTTTATGGCCATTTTGAGGGGGGCTGTGAAATAATGTTCAATTCAATGCCTGCATAACATGGGATTCACTTCGCAAATGGTTTTAAATACTGCAACAGCGAAGCTCTCAAATAATAGTTGCTTTTGGTCAGCAAAATGCACTAAAGTGCTTGCCCTTCTCGATTTTACGCTTATTTCTAAAGAACTTCGGGCACAACCTTTTAAATTTGAATAAACTGAGTTTTTTCTAAACAGTCGTGCTCTAGATATTCAAATATTGATTTTAAAGAAAGATCCACGAAAACCTGCGAAATGTTTTGTTTTATATTTACGCAATCAATTGAGGCCGCTGAACTCGTTAACGTAACTCATAAAATCTTCGCACATTAAAAAACAAATAGAAAAACAAATGCAATAGCTTTAAAAAAAAACTATACTTATCAAAAAATTGTTAAAATAATGGCTGGGCTAAATTGATTTAAGAATTTTCGGTCTTGGTTTTTCGGCAAGACTTTCTTTCTTAATCTACAAAACCAACAATTACAATGTCCGTAATTTAAAAACAAATAATTAATGGTCTTAAATTAAGAATTTCGGAATGGGACGGAAATATCCGAAAATGAATAGGAAAGTAATAAGATTATCGACATAGTATACAGTACAGTATATACGCATTTAATAGATATATATGTTTTCTACGTTTTTATCAAATGCCCATAAATTTGTTAAAAAATCGAAATGATTTCATTACTTTATATCAATATATAGCAGTTTTACAGCCCCATAAACATCGGCTTTCCAATAGACTTATTGTATTTAGTCGCAGGCAACAAAATTATATATTTCTATTGGTTCAAATATATTTAAAAACATAATCGATGTACAAAGTATATTTACTAATGAGCATCAACTGCCGGTTCGATAAAGTGATGACTGTATTTTTATGAGAAAAACACAAATAAATTATACCTTTTTTGTTTGTAAGGTGTGGTATTTGCGATATCACGTTTTGAAGAAAATCATGACTTTAAATTGTTTTAATTCAAACATCTTTAATAGGATGATTTCCATTTAATGAGATGCATAGCACATGAGAGCTTAGATGCGATTTATTGGATTGCATTTTAATTACAAGAAAAATGAAGTGCAATAACATAATAAAAGGTAAGTTTAAGTATCTTTTCGCTTCTCCACAAATTTACTGGTTTTTGAAAACTCAATATATTTTTAAATTACATAAACGTGTGACAGAAAGTGGTGGATATCTTTACATATTGATTATAGACATTATTTATATAGCAATAAAAGTAATAATAAAGTGAAATGCAATTAGTGAGATCTGTATATGTATATTATATAAGATAGCTTGGTGGATAACTACCACTCTTCATATAAATATACAAGTATATAGCTTATAAATGCCATAGGTATTAGGTATTATATTCATGGCAAATTTGGAAGGTCCCTCCATTTCGAATAAAAATTATAAACGCCGCAAACCGATTTGACCGGTGAGTTTGAAATAAATACCGACCTACTTGCGATGTCCCCAAGACAGAGGAATGACTTGAGCAAATGACTTAAAAAATTCTCACAATGGTGACCCCGTTTAACGACTCGAATAAATGACTTCAAAACTTCTCATGGCGGTGACCTCATTTAGTGGTGCTAATTGGAAAATAGAGTGCATGGGCGAGTGGGAAAGCCAAATATTTGGGCCAGCTCTGCTGGATGCTCTTAAAACCGCCGAGTTGTTGAACTTACTTTGGCAATTTCCAGCTGTGCACAGTACAAGCAGCAGCAGCAGCAGCATAATGGGGATCGGGGGCATTGCATTTGGAAGAGTCATGGCTCTTTTGGGAGCCACCAGTGAGCCACCACGATTACGATGACTGCGATGGGAGGTTGCGAACAATAAGTTGCAGCAAAACATTGTTCGCCGTTCGCAGCTGATAATTTTCCCGCTGCTGTGTTTCCGATGCCGATGCTCCTGAAGTTGAGTTGATGATGCTGTTGATTACAATGGTAGTGCCGTTGGTGAGGCTGCTGATTAGCTCGGGCCTTAGAGGTGTTGTTGTGGCATCGCCAGCGATTAATTCATGCATACACTTGGCGGTTATTTATATTTATATTCGTATTTATGTTATGTTATGAAGATATATGCACATGTGTGAGTACGCATGGACATGAGCGTGTTGCGTTCATTAAGGTTTCACTTTGCATTCACACTGAATTTCCACCGCCTAATTACGATGTTTTATAATACTGCATACTGCATACTGCAAACTGCATAAAGCCAGGCACATTGTGATAATCGTGAAAATCGGACGGTCGGCCGTTGACTCCTCCCTCACCTGTCCGCAGTTCCGATCGATTCCGATCGATGGCGATCGATTCCGGTCACTTGCGATCAGATCGAAACCGCTTTCCTAAGTTCCCATACTTTATGCGGCTGACCGCTCCAATCGACTCGACTCGATTCGGCCACACTCGATTGCTTCGATCGGAAAAGTAAAAGTAAACTTTAAATGGCTTCCCTTTTCGGGCCGAAAGCCTGGCATGAATATTCAAAAGAATTAGCGGACTGCAGAGAGCGAATATGTGCATAGACACCAATGAAATGAAATGGCCTGAGGGCGAGTTGTTTTGGAGTTGCTTTCAAGGTTGCTACTGCCACACGGCTTTGTGTGGTTCGTAGAGTAGAGTAGAGTATTTTGGGATCGGACAAATGCTGCTAGCAGAACCCAATTCGACGGTTTCACTCCGCCGGGGGACTTGGAACTGGGGACTCGAAACTGGGCACCATCCGGTGTTCGGATCGCAAGCAACTTTCGTGAGAGCGTATATATCTTTCACTAATTATCGGCTACTGCTGCGGTCGTAGCCTCTGGTGAAGAGATCCGAGCTGAGGAAAGTTTCGGCTCTGAATCGGAATCTGGGCAATCGACGGAATCGGCTTGGGCACTCTAATTCGATATCGGTGGTGCTAATTTGAGCCGTGTGTGAAAGTACATGGCTGCGATGCTGGCGAACTAGAAACAGAAATATTGGGGCACACACTAACACTCAATCAGATCGAAAGACTTGTGCGATCCGAACCGTTCCCGATTTCATTTGCATATCCACGTACGAGTCGTGAGCGGGCAACAGTCATACCACAATATACCACAATATACACACAGTACACATGGGCATGATTCAATATGACCGAATTCAGCCAGAATTGGCTGCCATGGGCGTCTCTCAGTCACTCAGTCTCTGACCAGTTCACACAAAACAAAACCACTGGAACAAAAAGCACAAACGGAAAGCAGGCCTTCGCAGCGCGGCTTGGATTGCACCTTCAGTCCGCAGGAAAATGGAAAAATTAATGGCTACCTATGAACGTGAACTTATTTCTCGTTTAAGCGACCTGGCTGCATTTGCACGAGTTACTGCAACGGCGAAACAAAAACCGCCGTTTTCCGATCCGAACTCCCAGCACGTCTGCTCGGAATGAAAGTTGACTTATAACTGGTTTTCCTGTCCCACAGAAGTTGCCAACGAACCACTACACAACACCCGACCAAACCCGATCCGTTCCGATCCGAGTTGCGCTCAACTGGCTACTGCGCATGTGCAGCGACGAGCGCATGAGCCGACTTGGATGCCGCACTGTGGGGGCCATCCACCAGTGGTTTCTTAAAATATGTTTTATCTTTAAAAATCCTATATAGCTTGAAAGATATTTCAAGCGTTTCCGCGTAACGAAACTCGAACTTTTTCCTGAGTTATAGCGCTTAGAATAAGGTTTTTCCCATTGATGATTTAGTATTTTTTCAAGCTAACCAGCATTTCCAAGTCTGAAAATGCGATTTTACACGAATTTGAATCTTACATTCTATATATATTCCTTTTCCTCTTATTGTACGGTGTATCATAAGAATCTGTTCAGATGCTAGGAATTTCTGTCATTGCCTATCTTTATGGGAAATGTACACTCGCCCGCATATCTCTGCGTACACCCCAAAAAAATTTCAAAATCTAACTTTAAACCCTGGCTGTTCGGCCATTTATGCCTATATTCAACCCATTCTTTTTTTTAACCATAATTATAATTTATTGTATTCATTGACGTATTTTTTTTTTAATTATTCAACAATGTCTTATATTTTATTTTCAATTTTAAACTTATCACTACCAAAAATAGCTAGAGACTTGAAACTTTCGCAATTGTATTTGAAAAGTTTGAAAACGGAGCTGATTGGGCGTTTATATTATATAGCTGCCATAGATACGATCGGGGTTTTTGAAGTAATAACATAATGTTTTTATCCTGTTATTGGGATAATACTTAATATCTTGAGTTTTTTCAATAATGGATTACTGTATCCTATTAACGTCATTTATCTGCCTTACTGCCCGTATGGTTCTATGCGGATTATTCGCGCAGTGTATGCTGTCAACATAAAACTTTCCAAATCGTATTTTTTAAGTGTGCATTGGTAATGTTAATAAACTTGCCAATCTGACGTACGTATATATCATTTAGCTGCCACAGGAACAATCTGGTAAAATTTATATTTTTATGAAATAATATTCGAATATCTCGCTATTTATGACCTAATATGAAGGTTTTATATCATTTCGGATTTATTCATGAGTTGAGTAACCATAGCGCTCAATTTTGCCGTTCTCTTTTGGAATATTTTATAAAATTCCAATTCTGACAAAATTTTCAATATTTATTATATTCCAATATTCCAATTAATATTTCTGAAGTTTTATGCTTTTTTCTTCCAAAACAACAAATTTGACTTGATTTTTCATGTGACATCTTTTGGTTATTTTCGTCTAATCCGAACTATTTCCACTCGCAATCTGCATACGGAAGTGCCGATATCATTTCAGTTGAGTAGGGTAATTATTTTGACCAGTAAATGTGGTCGTTGGCCCCATTGTGCACCGCTGCCGCCATAAGGTTGATTGGTCGGTTGCCTGCTTGGCTGACCGATCGTCTTATACACTTGACAACATTCATAACATTCATTTCAAAATATTGTACATTTTCCCATTATTGTAAAAGAATCGCACAATTTTAGAGCTTTGTTTCCCAGTTTCCCTTTTTGAGCAAAATGTGCATTAAAGGAACTTGGGGTACTTAGAAGTTCTCCCACACTTATCTTAACAGCCAGATCCGAAAGCGACCTTTACAGTTATTAGCTTATAAACCAGTTCTGAGCCGAAAGATACTTAATTGTTTTAAACCAGAAAAATGTATATTTTTTATTTATCATTGTAGACGGCATTTTACGTAGTGACGAATCGCACTCCGTATGGCCGCAGAATTAAATATTTGCTACGATGGTTCCATCAAAACAAACAATATATTGATCGAAAGGTATTGTTATCCTCTTTGAATAAAACTTTCATACTTTCAAAATATACATAGCCATTTAAGAGTCGACTAATTTGGAAGAAAGGGGGTGAAAGTAAATAGGTTACCTTTGTATAAAACGTTGTACTTGCTTACGCAAATGTATAGTCTTTTTTCGTCACAAGATTGGGTATCTTAAGTGTTGGTTCTTGAAGGTGCGATCGTCACTACTTCCTTACCTCGTTTACATTACATTTTGTGTAAGGTATATTTAATGGAGATCCGGATCCCAGAACAATCTCCGTGAGATCAGCTCTGTCGTTGTGTTTCACTTCATAAAATACATTCTTGAATCGCTGGACTGCTTTTTCTGAATCAACTTGGTAGTCATTAGACTTTTATGAACCAACCCCAAAAAATGTTAAATAACAATTAATTTAGCTTTCTTGTTTGCAACTTAAGCAACAGTAAATTAAGAAATACAGTTATATAAAATACATATTAACTTCAAATTATTACAATTAATTCATGTTAGTAGGGAAGTTACTCATCGCAGCACTTAGAAAGGTTCTTTTAAGTTTTAATTTACGGATTGCTGTCAGCAACAAATGCGATTACTCTGCAAAGCCTAGTTGCTATATCAGAACTGTTCATAAAAATAAATATGCAACACAATAAATAAAATAAGATAGTTTTTACAAGTGTACCAGACTCATTTACCGCACGGTAGGGTAGTTCGGTTTGTTTTCGCTGGTCGAAAGACCGTGATGTCTGGTCTGTCATGGAGTAGCGTTGTTGCCGCCGCGAAATACAATATGCGCAATCGCAGAGCTTTACACAACTCGCACGAGAGTCGACTCAAGCGATCCATGTACTGCCCTCCGCGGAAGTCTACCCAGTCTTTAAACCCGAAACTCAGAGGCTAAACACTGCCATATATTACACCCTTCTCTGAATTCATTTTGCCCCTATACTGTGTTCTGATCGATCAAAACATTATTTGTAGTAAACAAATTTAAGTTACTTTACGATACATTTTTATTTTGAAACGGCATTTTCTTGGCCCAAGTCGAAATCAAACGTATTAAGCTGCTTCGAAAATGGTCTGATGAACATATGGTATATATGTATGTTTGCACATACAAAGGTGGATGAAAAGCGTACAAACTTTTACCGCCAAAAAATGCTCTGCACGAAATTTGTGTAAATTTTGCAATTAGCGGGGGCGAAAAGGCGCGTGACCAAAATCAGAAACAAACTTGATCTGCGCTAGCATCACAAGAGCATTGGTAATAAATCTGGTGTTCATAGGGATGTTTCGGATGAAAGAGAATATATTAGCGTTAAAAACACAACATAGTCATGCTTTCACGGGAACAGAGTGAGTGGGGTAATAAAGTGATGTAAACTGACTACCGTCCTTACTCTCATCGTGCAGAAATTATAAAACTCGTAAAAAATACTCTTATTCTATTTAGACGAGATATGGCCTATTGAAAATTCTTCTTGACAGGGTGCATGATGTCGCCTTAATTTTAAGATACGCCCCACAAAGACTCTTTTTTTCAGCTGGATTTATATTCAATTTAAAATGTAACTGTTATACTGTTTTATATAAAATACAGATGCCTTGGAAACTGAGGAAAAAAGATAAGTGCTTAGAATATTATAATTGAAATCAACAGAATATTAGAAAAAAACAGATGCCTTTGAAACCGATAAAGAAGACGATAAGACGTTTAGAAAAGGCCTGATGAGAGGGGAGGGGAGCCGATTCATTTCTCCGGGGCCCGCATTGGTAAGGAATTTTTTTTCGAAAAATTAGATGGTAAGAAAAAGTGAGAAAGAATAATATAATTCGAAAAGTCCAAACCATTCAATCTGAGCATCCTATATTTATACCCGTTACTCGTAGAGTAAAAGGCTATATTGTATTCGTGCAAAAGTATGTAACAGCTAGAAGGAAGCGTTTCCGACCCTATAAAGTATATATATTCTTTTTCAGGATCACTAGCCGAGTCGATCTAGCCATGTCCGTCTGTCCGTCCGTCCGTCTGTCCGTCTGTCTGTCTGTCCGTATGAACGCTGAGATCTCGGAAACTATAAAAGCTAGAAGATTGGCATTTTGCATGTAGATTTTAGGAGTTCCTACGCAGCGCAAGTTTGTATCAAAATGGTGCCACGCCCCCTCTGACGCCCACAAGCCACAAGCTGTGGCCACAGTTTTGATGCTATTATGAAAATTTTAATTGATATGTATTTGTTTCGTCAATACCTATCGATTGGCCTAATAAAAGTTTGCCACGCCCACTCTAACGCCCAAAAACCCATTAAACGCTTAAGTCTGTCTAGCGCCTACATTTCCGCCTTTCATGGCGCCATCTAACGGATGATTTTAGAACAGCTGGCCAAGGTGCTCAACAGAGTTAACGTTAATTCTTGATAAGGATTTCTATTAAAGGAAACGGAGTAACGGGTATCTAATAGTCGAGGCACTCGACTATAGCGTTCTCTCTTGTTTTTTATTTTGATGTATCGATTGAAACAATTTCTGATTTTTTTAGAAAATCAACTATAAAATTACATGTCCCGGGGCTCTCGACGGCCCTGGTTTAGAATACGGGCATAACACATCCACCAAAACATTTAGCCATTGCCATGGTTATCTTGAAACTGAATTTTTAAGTTGCGGTGTTCTCTTTTTAATTCTTGCAATTAAAATGTATTTCAAATATATATGTTTTTTTCAGTATCACACTTATAAGGTTCCGAATTCTGTACCTGTTAATATATTGTCTGGACCTCGAATTCTTAAGAACTTACGAGACCATTTTTTTTACCAACATGTTACATTTTTTATGTAAGTCTAAAACATTATTTTCTAAATCGTAAAAAAAAATTCTGTCGAGCTATATTGAAAAACAACCTGAAATAGAAAAAAGACTTTAGGAACACTTTTATCCAGATAGCTTTAAAACTCAAGTTTGCCTAGAAAATGACTTAGTCAACCGGCTCGCGATTTTGAAGAAATATATGATTTATGTATATGATCGAAAATGTCTTCTTTACTTAGTCGCCACCTTCTGACTGAAAATAAAATATACTAGGATGTTTTTTAAACATTTTTTTAAACTGTAGAGCGTATTTTAAAATTTTTTTTTATCAATAATTTCCTTTTATTTACAGTTTTTTAGGACTCCACCGATATTGACCATGACTGACATTTTCGAAAAAAACCCAAGATGTCGGCCAATACCACAAAGAAAAAAATTGTTCCTTGATAGATCGCGTTTTCTTTAAAATTATATTTCATGGGGGTAAACTTTGGTCAACAAACTATTGAGGATAATTAAATCGATTTGTCGATTTGAGGGCACTAAAGTAGTGGGTGGAATGAATTCTAATAACTTTTGATCTTTAATTAAGATTTTTAAGAAAAATAACATAGTGGCGCCCAAAGACTTATTAAACCATTCTTTTTTTGCTCATAAGACTTCTTGGTCACGGCAAAATTAGTATTTTGACCAATGAATACAACTAATAATCGGAAGTGTATTCAATCTTTGGCTTGTCAAAGACAACTTAATATCTCGTTTATTTCTTCCATTGGTCTGTAATTTTAGTGGCTAGTTCGGTCTCAACACAGTAGCCGAACCCAAGTGCCAGTTAATGAAAGACGTAAGGCGATAATACCCGTACTAAAACTGGATTACTATAGGAGCCGTGTTCTGTTCAATTGCGATAATTGGCATGACCATGCGGTCTCAGCCGTCAACTGTGGCCAATAGTCCAAGTAAAAAGCGACGAACGGACTTTCTGATTACGTTTCCATACTTGTCCTAATTCGAGGTCCATGTACCGCAATGACTGGTGATGTTTGGCCACTGGGCCTCTGAAACTTTGGGAAGTCATGAATACAGTTTCCAAACTGGCGATCTCCGGACTAACAGTTCGAAGTCACCGGAAAAGAGAAGCCAATTTAGGTTTGTGAAATGAAGAACACGCAGTTTTATGTGGGAAGACGGTCTTTTGGGGCTGTCATCGAAATATTTACGGCTCTTGGCCAGTCTTTCCCATCGCGCATGATTGGCAATTTATCATTCCGCAATGTTTCGCTGGGTGCATTGGTCCGTTGCCAGGCTTTGTCGTCATCTTTCCCTCAAAACAGTCGCCCTTTTCCGAGCTGACGTCAGTTATGGTCTTTTGAACCGACTTTGCAATGCTTCAGTTGGCAGGTGTTATTTAACATTTTTACTCATGATATAACTGAATTAACTGCTAAATGCAAAGACAACTAAAAAGCAATTCAACGCTCTTGAAATCGAGGGCCAAAAAAGAGTGGCCAGCAGAAACAATAGCATAGTGCACATATGAAAATCAACGTCTTAAGTTAGTTGACTTACTAACTTGAGCAAAGCTTTTTAATACTGGACAAAAGCTCAGATGAGGGGTACACCAAGCGTGCTTTACTATCAGAAGCGACACCCAAAAACGAAATACACAGAATAAATTCCTAACCCGTTACCGCACAGTGTCCTAACTCATGCAACAGGTAGAAGAAAAGGTTTCAGAACCTTTACAGAGTATGTCTATATATATTCTTTATAAGCCTCAACAGCCAAGTCTTGTGATGCAAATCGAATAAGTTTTAAAAGAGTTCAAATAATACACCGTTATACTATTTATAAAATAGTGTGTATCTCAAAATGTACCATATTTTTCTATTTCGTTTTAACTTAAGGTGAGCACAGGAAATTTTAAAATTGTATATCAATATGATGGATTTCCAATAATTTTCAGCTAAGATACAGTAAATCAATTACAAAAATAACTGAAATCACATATTTTAAAACACGTTCGGGGAATAGCATTGACACCAACTTGTTTGTTGTGCATTAAGATACATACAACTGCGGGCAAGATAATAGTAATATTTTAATTGCTCACTTAAAGAGAAAAGAGAAATGTTATTAGGCAACTTTACGAAAACTTTTTTTTTTTTTTTTAAGTTAATATCAAATTAATACCGTTGAAAAATAGTGATATATGTTGTACTACATTTATAAATTCTTTTAATTTAATGAAATTTAAAAAATTACTTTGGACACTTATCTTGAACTTTACTAACCATCTATAGAAAGACTAAATACAGATGAAATTAATTTCTTGTGCCGAGGTCTCCATATCTCGAACTTGGTTTTTTGGTTCGCGTTAGGAAGTGCAAATTCAAAATTAAAAAAAAATTGTGATCCTGTACAAAGTTCAAATTACAAATACTTGTAGTAATATTAATTTACATTTAGAGTATTAACATAGAGTATTAACATTGCTTATTGGATACAAGTTTTATTTAGTAAAGGACGCTTTTCATATAAGAAAAAGCTTTGAGCCACCTGGCTATAATACCCAGTACGAGAACACACATTTGTGTTCAGTGCACTCACGGTCTGAGCCTGAGATGGATGTGTGTGTGAGAGCGGGGTGATCGCGAGTGCCAGGTGTGCCAGTGTGTGTGTGTTCGCTGTATTCAGGTATTCAGGTATATGCGAGCGGTTTCTGCGTTTCTGAGTTTTCTGTTTTCCGTTTTGCTGTCTTCTGTTTTTTGTTTTTGTTCGAGCGATCTACGAGAGCATGAATAAGTGGGAATGGATCGCTTAAAGCGCTCGATCGTCGGCGTGCCAGTGAGTATTATTTTTAGTTTGTTTTCGCCTCTTGGTGCGTACAGTTGCAGTGGGCAGCGGCGGGCTCCAATCCGATTTACAGTTCCGTTCCGTTCAGTTCGATTTTGTTTTGATTTCGCTATTGCTGCTCTCCGTTCTTTTCGGTCTGCCGTGGACCCCGCTTTCCCCGCCATCACCGCCTCCACCTCCACTCCAATCCATCCAAGCGATCCGACTTTCGTTTTTTGTGACCATCGGGTTGGTACCAGTTGCTCTGCTCTTTATAGAGTTGTAAAGTTTTGGCCTGGCATGGCATATTCACACAACAAAACAAAAATGCGCTGCTCACTTGTGTGCCCACGAGGCCGTCTCTCTAAATAGATCAAAAGAAGAGTTTGGCAATCGGAGGTTCGATTGTACAACAGCTAAAATATTAGTATTTACACCACCGAGCGGAAGCCTGTTCAGCGGCCCATAACAGAACCCACCGTTTCAAAATTCCATCGGCTGACAAACCCAAAGGCGAGTTGGCCGTTCTCTGGAATTCGTGAATAACTATTTTCCCCTGCTCGGCGAGAGCTGACTTAGACGCCCTGTGCTGGAGCATCAATGATGCCAACGACCTATTTTAAAACCGGAAAAATACACGAAACCGGAAAAAAGCACTAATCTAAGGAAAGGTTTCGGCGCCGGTCCTTCTCTTGAATAGCCTTTCTCCTTAATGTCCGAATTGTTTTCGTTCTGACTTTGGTTTAGTACCATACCGAGCTCAGATACAATATATAAAAAGTTAATAGTGTGTTAGACAAGGTAGAGTTTACATCTCGGTTTAGCACAAAAGCGTACAAAACAACAAATTATGATACCTTCATTCTTAATAATTTAATAATTTATAAGAAATAAGCACCTCCCAAAAAACCAAGTTGCAATTTAAATTATAAAGAAAGTCTTACCAAATTTGTTTATAACGATTAGATTTAAAGGTTATTTACACACATATACACATATTGTAAGACAACGAAGTTAGATTCTCCCAATGTTGGAACGCTCGATCCAATGACAGCTTTCAAATTAGAAACCGATTGCGGAAATCGCATAAAACTATTATATCTAGGGTAATAAAGTTAATGCAGCTAAATGACAAAGTTCCGAGTTACATACATTTAAACTACATGTACATGTAATAGGAAGTGGCATGTTGTGAAAGTTTTAGCCAGACGTAGAGAAAATGACCTTGCTTATATCGAATCGGCAGGGGATGCTGATAAATGCTACACGTATATACTTTATAGGGTCGAAAATGTCCCCTTCAAGATTTTTCTACACACTAGTACGTTCAAATAAAAGTAAAGTTTGAGCTAAAACAAAACAACCATTACACACCTATTTGCTTATTCAAAATGTCAGTGCACATATAATGCACTGAACACCTGGAATCTCATTGTCAATTCATTCGACGACTTGTTTTTCGTTTCAGCGTTTCATGAGGCCGAGGGGAATATGTCCGTTGCACCTGGAGCGGTGCTTTCGCCTGGTATAATCTCAGTTCGGGAATGCCCCTCTAGCCGGGCCACGCCCACCAGGCAGCCATGCCAGTGCAGCCAGTCCAGCCAGTCCGTCCCGTGAGCACCTACGACAACTTGGGCGTCTGCCAGCCGAGATCCCCGGGCGGCGGGATGAGTGAGCCGGAGATGGAGATGGAGCCGGAGATGGAACTCAGTGGCAGCCACAACGGCACCAGCCACAGCATTGCCGCTGTGAAGGCGGCCCTGAACGACGCCAAGTCCAAGTTCTTCGGGATCAACAACTATGAGTCACAGTCTCAAGTGCCGGCGGTCCAGCCGGAGCCGAAGTACCAGAATGTGCCGCAGCGGGACGAACCTCCGGCAGTGGCTGCTCCAGAGCCATCGCCTCCGTCGGCTCCTTCCGGGGATCTGGCCATTGGAGCTGGAACAGGGAACAGGGCACTGCGGTATGCGACCACCTACGAACAGATTCCCCTCAGCGACTTGGAAACTCCGCAGTCGTCGCAGGTGGGTGAGCTAATCGCTGGCCTGCGCCGAAAATCACTAATTGTGTCTCCCGAAAAGGCCGTCTACATGAGCACCACCGTTCCGCAAAACATGAAAGGCATGAAGATCGCCGGACGACATACGCCAACCCGGAACAGCCTGAGGCACAGTCGGATGATCGTTGTCAATCACAAGAACCACGACAGTACGTTTCCTCAATCTCTTATTTAGACATTCTGCGTGGGCGTCCACACAGTCATCTTTAGTTGGGAACAAACGTGCTTGAACTTTGGCTCAAACTTAAGCCACAAATAACTTATATCAAGGGGGTTATTTTCTTAAACTGTACTCTTTATACAAACTCAAAGAATAATCGCTGAGCTTAAAGTTATGAGACAACAGAAACATAAAATAATAAAATGTGATATTCCTTTTCGATAGAAGATAGAGTACACACCAATTCTTTACACATGCTAAAAAGAGACACCATTTCCCAAAACAAAAATATAGGCTTATAACCAATAAATCAATCAATCATTGCTATAATTGTTTAGAGTTTTGAAGACCGTATGTTCTTTATGAATTCCTCGCACAGCTTAAATAACACTGATTAACACCCTTCATGTTGAATTTTATTTATGTAAGAATACATTCCTTATATAATATATTTGTGGGCTAAATAAAAATCTAATCCTGAAAATGCTTAATTACGCAAGGATTTCATGAAAAATGCTTGAACCTTATTAAAAGATAAATTAGAAATTGAAATGAGATCCCTTTCGAGTTTCCGTAGATTTTAACGAGTTGTGTTAAACGCAATTATAAGGTCAAAAGTGCATTTGAAAATGCTCAAAAATATTTTTAAAAAAAATGATCCAAATCTTGACATAATTTAAAATTTTAATCAATCTTCTAGAAATGTATAATTTGAGTTATGTGCAAAAAATTACAAATTTTGTAACACAGTGTAATTGGTCATTTGTGAAGGTTAATTACTTTACTTTCAGTTTGATTGTGATAAGCTATTACTGACAACAAAATTTATTCAAAGCGACAAATACAGTCTGTACGCAAATTTGAAATCATCAAAACTATAATACCCTTTGCAAGGGTACAAAACATATATGAATGTTATTAACTATCAATATCACTGTTCGATTTTCTTTGTGCAGGTCTCCAAGCCACCTACATACGGAATCTAAATATTTCGCGACAACTCCTAATTATGCAATTAGCTGTTGGATTGCTGATCGTGGGTCTTGCCGCTTGGATACTTATTCTGGCGCCGAGCGCATCAATACTGATCAATCCGTATCTGAGTGGTCTGTCGGTAAGTTAATAAGTAAAGTCTTTTATGTGGACATGGATGTTACACACTTGTATTTGGGAGAAGGCTTAGGAGGAGTCTTAAAACTTTGTCAGGCTTTGCCTGTACCCACTTCTAATAATACTTTTTGTAAGGATAAGCATGTTTTCATAAGTAATTTAGAGACATGAATTTAAGTGATATACAAAACATTGCTGGATTTACCTTTTCAGCTCCTGTTGGCCAGTGTGGCTGGTCTCATCCTGCTGCGAAGGGGCCACAAGTCGGACCACAGACCCCCGAACAGCTGCTACAAGGTCCTGCTGGCCGAGTCCTACGTGTTCACCGCCCTGGCCCTGATCTTCTGCTGCCTGGCACTCGTCTGCGCAGCCATCGAGTTCGCGGAGCTGGCCTCCTCTGCGGATGGAGGGTGCGGACCCACGTCCAGCTCGCTGCTGAGCTACCACAACTGCACCTGCCTTTCGGCGGACGAGGGTGTGGCCTCCTCCGAAGCCCCACCTCCACTTGCACCTCTCCAGGAGCCACCGCAGTACGTTTTACAATCCAAACATTTTGTTCCCACGCTAAAGCATCCGTTTCAGGAGCGCCGGATGTGGACAGATCCGGGCCGAATGGAAGTATCTGCTGGCCTTCTCCATGGCGCTGAACACTCTGGGCATTGTTGCAACATTCTTATACATAACGCTATTTATTTGTTGCCACCGCAACAGGGAACATTTTTACACGTCTGTGTAGGGGAGTTTACACCTAGGCTATCACTTTACTTTTATATATTACTTAAATTATTTTGGTAACTGATAAACAATTTAAAATAAATAATTTATTTATAATAACACCATCTCAATCTGCATATAACGTGTAAGACATGGAACTAACGACGTTGACAAAAATATATGGTGCTTTACCTATAGTTGCTTATATAGCCAATATAATAAATAAAACCACTTTCCAAAAAAATATTAAACAGATTCTTATGAAACCTAAACAAAGTTCCTTACAAACAAATTACAAATTGAACACTTACACAAACCATAAAGAAATTTGTTGTAAAGTTCGTGGAAAAAATTGAATGGCATATTAACTTCTTAACAATTCGTAATGTGTTTCAAATATCTTTGAGCTGTGGCCGTTTAATTGGACGGGTTTTCCGTGGAAACCCTGCAGAAAATCGAATGCTATTCTTATTGACATGTATTTTCTTTTTTAAAAACCAAAACAGTCAGCTGTTCTTTTAGAAAATACGTAATACTTTATATAACACTATATATGGAACTATTTTAGATCTAATTTGAAACGTTTTGTGTATCTACCAGAGTTGCGCATAATCATTTACATTGTTTTTTAAATATAAATAATAAAAGTAATGCAAATAAAAATTAAATTAAAAAATCAACTTCTATAAAAAAATATTTCATTAGATTTAAAAAAAGTAATGCTAATAAAATACTATTCTATTGCATTGCCAAAAAGTAATGCCACTTCATTAGCACTAATTTTCTCAATGCTAAAAATGCTTTTAAAGCTTTACTTTTTTATTTCTAATGAAATAACAAATGCATTACGAAACTATTTTATTAGTCAGAACTGGCCAAACTGTGAATGGTAAAAAATTTGTGAGGTTTTATAACTCAAATATTTTTTTGTAATCGCATTAATAAGCTTAATCAAAGTTCAAGAACAAACATTCGACCAGACTGTTAAAGGTATAATTTATGAGGTTGTTTATTGGTGCATACCCAAAAATGTCATTTATTCAGCCTTTTTAAAATCCACTAACTCCCCCTGGCTTCCGAAAATCGGAGTTCACCCAGATTGTGCCATTCTGTTGAGCGATGCCGCAGATGACGGAGCCGCGGTTTTCATATCGCTCACACCGGTGTCCCCTGTCCTGCAAGCTCTCCACGTGGCTTTGGAGCAGTCCATACTCGTAGAGGAGCACGTTGGGCAGCATTTGGTGATGGATGCGGCTGGCATCGATGGCGGCCTTAATGTGCGCGTTCTGCCAAAGGATTCGGACGAGGAGCGGGAAGAGGGAGGAGATTATTTTGGTGCCGCCAGCAGCACCCACAACCAATCGAACTTCGCCAGAGGAGCGGCTTGTGACTATGACCGGACTCATCGAGGACATGGGACGGGCGGATGGAGATACACCATTTGTGCCAGGGACGAATGGCAAGTCAAAGTAGTTTTTAAGCTGCTCAATGGAGAAGTCCGACATGGCGTTATTAAAGATCACACCAGTGCGCCTCCCTGTGCGTCCACTACCGAAACTATAAGGAAAATGGGATTGATTTACAAATATCTATTAAATATAGGACGGAGGTGCTCACTAGAAATTGATGGAGCTGGTGACTGAAACGGCATCGTTCCCAAGCAGTACTGAGGTGTGGGCAGTGCCGTGCTCATCGCGTATTTGTATCCCCGACGCAGCTCCGTACCGCTCAGATCTGTTGAAGGTCTGGGAGTCATTAATTAGCTTGGCTATGGAGTTCGCGAATTCGTGGCTGGTGAGACTCGCCAGAAGCTGTTTGAGAAATTAAAGAAAGCGGTAGGTATATAAAATGTTATGGTTCATAAAGTCCAATCCTTCAGTAAAGGGACAACAATTTAAAAAAAAGTATACTAAATACATTCTTTGCAAGTAACAGGTGGAATTAGCCATACAATTACAAATTGGTTTCGGTAAAAAGGCGACTAAATAGGGATCGACGTTAGTTGTGTGTATATTAACGCAATCACAGTAAAGTGTATTACTTATACGTACTGTTGGCTTTTATCTATGTGTCGGAAACTTAACATTGTTCACCTGCATTCGAAGCTACAACGTATTTAAAAATCCAAGTCTCTTAAGTATTATTCTAGGACTCGAAACCAAAATTAAATCGGCCATAACATGAATTGGCGAGTCTCTTAACGCAAATATTTCCTTTCACTTTTGAAAACAAGAATATGGATTCAGAAATACCTTAATGTAACCTTAAAAAGGTTACCCTAATATACATAAGTATGTTAGGTGCGTTGTTCTCTTCCTAAGTATTATGAACTAAAGTTTATAAAAACCCAATCGAAAATTGTTTTTGTTGGTTAGGATGTAATGATAAAGCGAGTTTCGGTTTTCGATTCCGAACTATGAGATTACTTTTTCGGAAACCACTTACAAAGTCCATGGATTCGAAAGAGAAAGACGACTGAAAGGGAGGCAAAGATCGTGCTCACCTCTTCGTTGGCGGCTTCGTCCAGCTGCCAGCGCTTGACAAAGCCAAACTTCATGGCCTCAACCATCAGATGAATCTCCCGGACACCCATGGTTCGCGCTCGTGAGAAGTCTGCTCGGAACTTCCGCAGAATGTTCATTATGAAGCCCAGGACGAGGCCACTTCCTGGTGGAGGGGTCAGGTGAAGATCATACTCGTCGAGCGGCATCACAACCGCCTTGCTCAACTTGGCATGGGCTCGGTTGAGGTCTTCCCTGTCGATGGCACTGCCAGCGTCCCTTAAATCGGCCAGCAGGTCATCAGCAATCGATCCCGTGTAGAAACTGAGGGGTCCTTCCCTGGCCAACCGATCATAGGTGGTGCACAATTGCGCCGATGGCCGGATGAGGTGGCCCAGAGGCCAGAACTGCCCGGAATGGGGGTCAATGAACATCCGCCGCAGCCCGGGATCGCCCCTGATCATGTCCTGGTTCAGGACAAGGGCATCGTACTGATGCTTGTACAGCGGGTAGCCACGGCGACACAGCTTTAGCGTGGGCAGCACCAGTTCCTGCCAGGGCAGCCGCCCGAATCTCTGGTGAGCCACGGCGTATCCGGCCAGTTCGGCGGGCACGGCGATGGACCAGCCGGACCGCTTGAACTCCTGCTCATCCCGAAAGGACGACAAGTTCTCCGCCCGCAGTGCGAGTGGAGCTATTTCTCGGGCCAGAATGCTGTAGGACTGGCGCTCCTTGTGCAGGTAGACGTTCATCACCATGCCGCCGCCAATGCCCATGCTCTGCATACCGATGAGCCCGTTGCAGATCAGGGCAGCCAGGGCTCCGTCCACGGCACTGCCCCCCTTTTCCAGGACTTCCCTGGCCAACTGGCTGCACACATCGCTGTCGGAGCAAATGGCCGCTCGGGAGAATTGGTGCAGCGGCGAATTAGAGGGCGGCAGTGGATCCTCTGGGTTTGGTGGCCTCCTAGACACTTTTTGTGGACCTCAGAATTTTAAATTATTATGGGTAATTATCCTTCTTCTCTAAGCACACTCACTATTTTTTCCCGGAAGCCGGTACAAATAAACAGCCACCAGGATGACAATCACCACAGGTACTAAGCTATTCACGCCTATCCTCAAGTACATCTCGAGCAATTATGTTTTATCTGATTTCAACCCATCATCAAAGGAGAAGGCCCAAAGGAAATATCCTTTTCATTTAAAAAAACAGCTGACTAGCTGTGAGACCGTAGTGTTAGGCTTGCAGAAATACCGAATTCAGCGCGGGATTAATTACCTTTTCAAATCGGCACAAGCCTATGGGGAAATTGTGGATTGGAGGGATTTTAAATATGGGGGATGTTTTCATTTTATTATTTTCTCGACAACTAATCAACAAAATTCAAAAATGTAAAGAAAGAAAAGAAGTAACGATATATGTAAATTAGTTTGTGTATATACAAGGATATTTTTGAGAAATGGCCTCCCTAACCTTGGTAATTTTTTCCACTCACAGAGAGTACCCCAAATTGAATATGAAATATCCTACTGTTTTCAAAAAAATCGCCGAGCATATCTGCAGATTTTTGCCAGCCTGCAGAAAACATAAGAACAGCTAATGCCCAAGATTGTCTAAGTAGTAACAAATCAACTTCATTAAATATAAATATATTTGTTTTTGGTTTTATTATAATTTCATATTTGTTTACGTTTTCGTAGTGAATTGCACCGAAAAAACATCGCATAACTATCGCATCAAAAAGTCCGTCAAATTTGGATGGGGAACTTACTGGGACTTTTCGGAACGGCAAAACCTTATGGACCATCCGTTCAACGGATGCTGGATGGATCTCTGTGGGAAGACGTTATTACTCGGTAACACCATAACACTGCAGTGTGTACGGACCTAATTAACTATTACTTCTTTAATACTTATCGATACACAGTGCTGAAGGCAACGTATCGAATATCGGGCTATCAACTTTGCAACAGGTAGTTGTCCCGCCCTGGCGTGTGGTCAGTTGATAAAGTCTTCTCGGCGTTACAAAATATACGGAGAGTGCCGTCGTCGCGTTTTCAGATACTTAAAGTAATTAAAAGTAATAAGATTTAACTTTTTTTTTGTGTTCGCTAAGCTCAGTTTTCTGTTGTTATTGGAGTTATACAAACCAGACGGACCTTAAATGTGCATCCATAAATTTAATATAATTTCCAAGCATATTTTCATATTCGTGTGCCTATGTGTGTATCTACTAAGCCATACATATCGTACGACTAACAGCAATAGAAACACTCGGTTGGTATCTTCAGATACAATTGTGTCTTAAAATGCACCTATACATGCACGCACCGGCACTGACACGTGTTCATGTGCTGCATCTGTGTGCGCTAGGTCCATCTGTTGATTTGCAACCTTGCAATAAATAATTACCGTTGTCGGTCTAATAAGAGCAAATACATTGGCATGTAAATAAGTATGTATACTTGGGTCATACTTGAAAAACCAAACCTTTTCAGACTCAAATGTTGAAAACAGCTTTTAAAAGGTAACAAGCGATACAAAACACTGGGTTCATTCGGAAATTAAAAGAAAAAAACAACTTAAAATTTAATAATACATTTATGTAAATGGAATTTTTTCTAATAAGCTCTTTATTTCCTTCTGCGCAACCACGTCACAGCAAGTCGCACCTCTCACGCAACCTCATTGCGTTGATGGGAGTAACGTCTCGTCATCGTCGGTTCAAAAGCGCTATCTTAACCCAGCCTTAAAATTAGAGTTAGTCAATTTTCGGTGGATGGTTGCTGTTACTGCTTGTGAGGAAATATTCAATTCGCATCATAACTTATAAGTGCTTTTTGGCAAAATTTCTTTGTTGTTCTCAAGAGATTAGCTTATCAGTCCGAAATTCGTCCGGTCTTACGTCCAAGCATCAAGGCACAAAGCGTGCATTTTTTGAGGTCGAAGTACCCGAAACAATACAAGCCAATAGATTTTTCGATCTAAATAGGCTATAAAGTTATGTGTTTTAAAAGCGACTTTCAGTTTCGATGTTTCATATGTCTGCAGTTTCCACCAATGCGTTGTTATTAGATCATAAAACTTATTGTTCAATGATGTCAAAAAATGTAGCAAATGGATTGTGTTACGCAAATGACAAAAGTAAAATTAGTTATTATACTGATTGGCATCAGAATCCTTAACGGATTAAAAAAATTTCCTTACAAACACTAAAGAATATAGCAACTACTTTTTCATGTTACGAAATAAAAAATCAAAATAACAAATTAACATTGTTATCGTATCAGGGAAATATACATAAAATTAAATAAAAATTAAATGGACTTTTGCAGAACAAAATAAATATTAAATACATTTTAATGTAATTTTTTTGAAATATATACAATTCGCAAAGAATTACTATAAATGCATGACTCAGTAAATACACAGTGCCATTTATGTATGTACGCATCATGTGGAAACTTTGTTGGCGTGGGTTTCAGTTTAAGATGAATCACCTTAAAGGGAGCTGAATTTTGTTGCAGTATTCAGTACACAATCTGAAATAAAGTGCATATCCATTGTTGTAGCTTTTGCAAATTGGTTTATATTCAGTCCGAGTATTGAGATTGTGAAATAATCTTAAGCATGACTTCCATTTCAAAAGCTGCGTGTGGTTTTTCTTATCAGTAAGTTTTTATTCGCTGCATGAAGTATATTGTTTGCTTTTAGAAATGATGCTTTTCTGTCTTGTTAATACTTTTTCAACTAAGTTCAACATCTATACCTACGGTTGTATTCAAGTTTTTAGGGAGGGCCTTAAATGTCAACTGTTCGTGTCATTAGTTTAAACTCAAAGTTCTTTAAATCTTTGCAAACATCTTTTTAAGCTCTGGAGCACAGTCCGTTTTTTTTGTTATCCCCATTAGGTCGGTGGCGTCTATGTGTCTGGAGCAAAAAAACAAAAAAATACAGCAAACACATTAATGTTTCACGCATGACCCGCAAATATAACCCAAAGGATACATAATGTAATTAAAAAATATTTGGGTAAAGGGGGAAAGAGGATTAAAGTAAAGAAATTAAGTATTTTTTAGACGGTTTCCAATTTTAAGTGGCTTTCGGGAGAAACAAAAAGTTTTGTAAAAAGTAATTAGAACCTATTTTAGTTCCAACAGAAATTATTAATAAGGGCCAGTCCCATAACTCAAAACCAGTTTGGTTACATACATATGTTCGTATGGTTGTGTACCCCATTATATCACATACGGGGTTGACAGCGAAATCGGTTTAGTTGATATTTGGTAGGAAATTCCATATGACGTACATACAAATTTCAAATGAGAGAGAGCTTGTAATGTAAAATGTTTTAACAAATAAAGAACAAATAGTTAACAAATTTGAGCTTATTGTTGTGTGTGTTTTGGTTTTTTAAATAGATTCATAAGTCATTTGGCAACGGTTCCCGGTACTTTAAAAGTATTTAATACCAAAACTTATGACATGAAACAAAACCACTCTTTAAAGAGGTAAAAGAGTCGTGACGTCTAAATAAATACACTTTCAAATATTTTCTCATTTGGAACGCTGCAATAAAAATCCCATTGTAGGCATGTCTTATCGAAGCGAGATAAATGTTTCGCCGAAATTTTTTGCAAAAATGATTATTGTTAATTCTCCGATATATTTATTTGATGATTAGTCGGCCATATGACATTCTATATATTTCATTTTTATAAAATGAAAATCGCATTTTTACTTTATCTCGGAGTTAATCCCTATTTGTTAAAAACAACCCAGTTATAATTTATTTTTTCGAAATTTAGTACCTGACTTATTTAAAAGCCTTAAAAGCATCATTTCTAAAAGCAAACAATGTACTTCATGCAGCGAATAAAAGCATACTGATAAGAAAAACCACACGCAGCTTTTGAAGTGGAAGTCATGCTTAAGATTATTTCACAATCTCAATACTCGGACTGAATATAAACCAATTTGCAAAAGCTACAACAATGCATATGCACTTTATTTCAGATTGTGTACTGAATACTGCAAACAAAATTCTGCTCCCTTTAAGGTGATTCATCTTAAACTTAAACCCACGCCAACAAAGTTTCCACATGATGCGTACATACATAAATGGCACTGTGTATTTACTGAGTCATGCATTTATAGTAATTCTTTGCGAATTGTATATATTTAAAAAAAATTACATTAATATGTATTTAATATTTATTTTGTTCTGTCAAAAGTCCATAAAGAAAATTACAAAAATAATTCGTAATAAATAATGAACCATCTACCGAAAAATTGACTAACTCAAATTTTAAGGCTGGGTTAAGATAGCGCTTTTGAACCGACGATGACGAGACGTTACTCCCATCAACGCAATGAGGTTGCGTGAGAGGTGCGACTTGCCGTGACGTGGTTGCACAGAATAAAGGGCTTATTAGAAAATATTCCATTTACATAAGTGTATTATTATATTTTATGTTGTTTTTTCGCTTGTTACCTTTTAAAAGCTGTTGACAACATATGAGTTTGAAAAAGTTTGGTTTTTCAAGTATGACCCAAGTATACATACTTATTTACATGCCAATGTATTTGCTCTTATTAGACCGACATCGGCAATTTCACAACGGTAATTATTTATTGCAAGGTTGCAAATCAACAGATGGACCTAGCGCACACAGATGCAGCACATGAACACGTGTCAGTGCCGGTGCGTGCATGTGTAGGTGCATTTTAAGATACAATTGTATCTGAAGATACCAACCGAGTGTTTCTATTGCTGTTAGTCGTACGATATGTATTGCTTAGTAGATACACACATAGGCACACGAATATGAAAATATGCTTGGAGCTATGGGTTTGGGATTTATCATTATTTTATAAGTTATTAAGAAACTAAAGGGTTAATTATGGCGTCAATACATACTCAAATGTTCATATATTTGAGGGATCTAAAACCCGATTGTTTGTCGAAATGTGCCATCATTTGTAGGCATATTTATTTTGAAATAAGTATGCTGAGTAACGGGTATCTTATAGTCGAGGCTCTCGACTATAACGCTTCTCCTTGTTTTTATTTACACTGTTATAAGATGAATTCGAGCAGCTCTTGCGTAGTTAAATAATAATTCCCGGTCATAGTAGCCACACACTTTATATTTCCCTTCTACAACCTATTAGCATTAATCTTTGCCGCAATGTATGTATTTTCAGTAGATCCAAATATATGTACAGGTGTAAGTTAGCTAAATAAGAATGGAGTTGATAACAACTGGTTAAATACTACAATTTAGCATTGCACATATGTATGTAAATATTTATTTTAAATAAAACCCACTTGTTCCTATTTTGCTTTTTCCAGTACTGAATCTCAATCACCGGAAACCCCCCACAGAATAGAATCTCCCTCATAATGTATCCCTTCGTAAGTTTAAAATTCTTCCTTTAGTTTTAAAAGCATCAATCATCATCTTTAACAAGGTTTTAATTTAATAAAAAGTCCATATTTTAAAAGTTTATTAGTATTGAAACCTGTTCTCATAATTCGTGTTTGTTTTATGAGATTTTATAAAACTTTCGATTTAAATTATAAGGATTAGCGTATATGTTATAGCTCAGAAATTGATTTTTTTTGGGTTATGTTAAAAAAGGTATTACCACCATTTTCTTAGTTTTCACTAAGTGTTTCTTAAAGCCATTATTTTCCTGAAAGATTTTTAATTTTTGAATGTAAAATAAATTGTCGTGAGCCCCGTGATTATTAAGCTCAATAGAGTCAATTTGAATTGTACATTTTTTGACTTTTATAGGGTTCCGGAATGCCATCGCACCCCCCACCTCCACTAACGAACCACCACGAGCGCCCTTTGGAGCTGGTTGGGTGCCACCGATGCAGCAGAACTCGCCATACCCGCCACCCCCCCAGCCACACCCCCACTCTCACCCACCGTCCCAAATGCACCACCACCACCACCAGCAGCAGTATCCCGGCCAGCACGGCAGCGGTGCTCCCTACCCACCAATGGCAGCACCCTACCAGGCCGCCCCGTCCTACCCCCCTTACCCCACCTCGAGTCCGTACCCGGCTCAGTTCGCGCCCCAAGGGCATCACCAGCAGCAGCCAGTGTCGAACAGCCCCTATCCCACGGATCGCGGATTCACCCCAGCTGCCACATACGATGCGGGCTACGGCTACGGAAACGGACAAGGACATGGACAAGCACATGGACATGGACAAGGGCATGGACAAGGGCATGGACAAGGGCATGGACAAGGGCATGGACATGGACAAGGACATGGACATGGACAGGGTTATGGGCATGGACAGGGGCACGGGCACGGGAATGGTCAGGGGCACGCGCATCGGTCACTCACAGCTCACAGAGAGGTTGGTCATCACTCCGACCGCACTCCCACATCCCCAGTAGATCCCTCCTCCCGGGTGGTCTTGAAACTGAATTCACTCATTCGCCATCATACGAACCACCTGACCCGGGCTCATTCTGATCCACGCTCTACGCTTGACTTTTCCAGGGAACTCCCACTGTGGTGCCCGCGCAGGGCTTCGATCCCGTCAAGGATGCGCACGACTTGCGCAAGGCCATGAGGGGCTTCGGCACGGACGAGGACGCCCTGATCAACATTATCTGCCGGCGGTCGAACGAGCAGCGCCAGGAGATCCAGCGCCAGTACAAGACGCACTTCGGCAAGGACCTCATCGAGGACATCAAGTCCGAGACGAGCGGCAACTTCGAGAGGCTGCTGGTCGGCCTGCTGCGCCCCATCGTGGACTACTACTGCGCCGAGCTGAACGATGCCATGGCCGGCATTGGCACCGACGAGGAGGTCCTCATCGAGATCCTCTGCACACTGTCCAACATGGAGATCTACACGATCAAAAACCAGTACTTACGACGTGAGTTGCGCCACCCGATTTTCCCCTGCAGATGCTCACTCACTTTCACTTCCAAATCGCTCAGTGTACGGCGCCCACCTGGAGTCCGAGCTGAAGTCGGAGACCTCGGGCAACTTCAAGCGGCTGCTCACCTCCTTGTGCACGGCGGCGCGGGACGAGAGCGGAAGCGTGGACCCCAACGCGGCCAAGAACGACGCCAGGGAGCTGCTGAAGGCTGGCGAGCTGCGCGTCGGCACCGACGAGAGCATGTTCAACATGATACTCTGCCAGAGGAACTACCAGCAGTTGAAGATGGTAATAGTCCCTTCTTAGCACTCATGGCAATGAAGGAAGCAGCAAAACATCAATTAAATATAGACCCAGTTAGGACTTCGCTTAGGAATATTTTAAGTTAGAACCTCTCTTAAGCGCGAGACATGTACAAGTTAGTTTTGAAAACAAGTGTACTAAAGTTTTCACTATTTATTCAAACTTCTTACTAACCATGACGCCTGCAACTTCTCATTTCTGTTCACATATACTAGAAGTACAACTTTTTTGGAAAACATCGTTATTTTTAGGAAAATTTAGCCAAATTTGTAAGTGGTTACGAAGCTTGCTAGAAATAAGAATGCTATAAGTAACAAGCAAGTTACGTGTTAAAATTCAAATTGGCACCAGCTCTTATCATGTAAAAACGTTCAACCAATAATGGCAAAATTTGTTAGATTTGTAATTGATATGCACAAAATGTAGAATTTTCAAAAACGACATAGGCTATATCATATTATTTTTTATAATTTAAGTCCAATCAAAATTTGATTCGATCAGCCGTTCAAATTATGTTCTTGCACACAATCAGATGCCTACGGATGAATGCCTAAAATAGTAGGTGAATAATGACTTGTTACGGTAAAAAAAAATAGTTACAAATAGTACATTGTACAAAGATACAAATCTTCCACTTTACATAGAAAGTTAAATTATTGACTGACATTATCAAAAACGTGCAAACAAAATCTGTTAGCCTTCCATCTTTTGAGAATCAATCAAATTAAAAAATCAATTTATCGAGGCGATTTTATGTTTAAGCTATTTCCGAAATTTTAGTTAATTTTGCCAAAGACAGAAGAACAAACCCTAAAAGCCAATATATCCGTAAAAATCAAATCATTTCTAATGAGGTATAACATTGAAAACCGAGCTAAGCCAGAAAACCTATTCGACTTTACCAACCGCATTATCTTTTGCAGATATTCCAAGAGTATGAGGGCATGACTGGCCACTCGCTGGAGAAAGCCATCAAGAAGGAGTTTTCTGGCGACGTTATGGAGGGCCTGATTGCCATCTACAGGTGTGTCACCAACAAAGCCGAGTACTTCGCTTCGCGCTTGCACAAGTCCATGGCTGGAATCGGCACCAACGACACCCAGTTGATCCGTGTCATCATCACTCGGTCCGAGGTAATGAAATGTTTATTCCGCCCCAATTGACCTTAGCTAAGGTTCTGGTATTCTGATTTCCAGATCGATTTGACGGACATCAAGGTGGCCTTTGAACGTCTGTACGGCAAGTCCTTAAAGAGCTGGATCAAGGTATGCAAGTGAAGCGATTTCCTCCTCGGATAGCAATAATGTCTAACTTATTTTCCAGGGCGACACTTCGGGCCACTACAAGCATGCTCTTTACGCCCTGGTGGGTGAACAGCGCTCATCCTAGGATTTTTCATATTTACTATTCAAACCAAATCGAAATTGAAATCAATTATTCGAATTCCTATGTATTCGAACATTCACGTACATACAACATACACGCCAAGGGAGCCTAACAATTATGACCCACTTTGTAGACTTTTGGTGCTCACAAACTTTACCTGAATGGGCCTCTCCAGCCCATGACCTCTCGACAATTTGATACCTCTTACATATAGCAAGTGTTGTATTTGACTTATTAAAAGACCTTTGTATTTAAACGCGCTTGGAAAGACAAACACTATTGAAGTTCCTCTCGTTTCACTTGCTACTGGTTTGAGAAAACAATGATTTGCTAATGTTTTATTAAGTGGCCACAAAACTGTTGCAATAAAAACTAGGCAGTAAATTAGACTTAGCTTTCTACCTACCGACTTCGTCTCAAGAGTGCCTCAATGTAACTTTATTGCCTACTTCAAAGCATTTAAAACTGCAAACATACACTGAAATATATTCTTATTGAACCGAATCGATTTGTATTCACTTATACACTATACATACTCGAGTTTGTGAGCAAGTGTTTAACTTCTAGTTCGCTCTCAACTGAATAAATTATTATATATGTGTGCATTAGATCTGTTGTCAAGTTTTTCATTTCGGTATTGGGTTCCATGTTCTAGCTATTTGAATGTTCTACAAGAAGAGCTAAAACAATGAGAATTACTTCAGAACTCGAACCTCGATGAACATCGAATCGTTGCGGAGATAGTTTCGGCTGGTGATGACCTTGTGGGGTATATGAAAGTACTGGTTGCTCTGGATGAAGTCGTCGCTCTTCTTGCGCACGAAGATGGTTTTGATATAGTCCTCGGCCTCCGCCGCATTTGAGTTCTGATCGCGGATAATGATCTCGGCCTGCAGACGACAGGGCCAGGCCAAAAGCGGGTCGTACTCCCCGGACAAGACGTTGAGGCAGGCGATCATGTTGCGCCCCTTCCAGGTGCCCTTGCCGTTCAAGTATATATCCAGCTGTCGAGGGGAGATTCGATTGTCCAGATGGAATGTCTATACGGGAGATGTTGCCCAACTTACCCGAAGAGCATAGCTGAATGCCTTGTTGGAGAACATCGCGCTGTGCAGGATGGTGTCGTACTGCTTCGACTCGTCCAGTTTCTTCGAGTAGTCCTTGATGCGCCAGATCAAGTGCCCTGCAAAACCATGGACCAATTAAAAAATAGGTTTATTACTTTTACTATGTTAGCATATAAATGACTGCCTTTTATACGTATTAAAGCATTTTTTTAAAATTAATTTAATAAACCTTTTTTAAATACGAATTTTATATTTATATATTCTTTTTTAATTTTTTCGCTTCTCTTGGAGTTTAACTAAAAGTTTGTTTATAGGCCTTCCTATAAAGTTAAAGCCACAATATGGAGCTTGGTGGCGTTTGCTTTTATTTGCTCATTTTTTCACCTATATGGTTATTTTCAATTATGTACAAATAAAATTTATACAGCAAAATTTGTGAGTCAAAACATTTATATTTGGAAATATGACGTGCGTATATACGTAGTATCTGTAACTAACCAATTTTAAAATAAAAATGACTTGCGGCATTCAACAAGTACCTTAAGGAAAACATACACGTATGCGTATTTATCTACTGACAGTGAGGTCTGTTAACCTTAGCAGTTTCTGAAATAATTCTGGGACTTGGAAGATTTGTAGGCATATGACTCCATGACTATCATGTCTCTACAGAATTATAAAATTGGAGACTATACTCTGCATGCAAAGTCCCAACTCTATAGATCTTATAGTTCCCGTTATCTTAACGTTCATGCGGACAGAGGGAAAAGGCTAGATCGACTCGTCTGCTGATCCTGATCAAGAATATATTTACCCCTATATGGTATGAAACGCTATCTTCTACGATATACCCTCATTTCTCTACAAGTAACGGGTATAATAACCATATGCATCCCCTTCTCATACCCCTTATGTTCTGCACGCTAGCGATGCGCTGCTGCATGGCCATCTGGGTCTCCAGATCCGACAGGTTCTGCATGGTCTGGTGCAGAGCCCGGTCCAGTTTGTCGCACCGCTCCTCGGTCTCACACACGATGTTCTTCACATTCTTGACCTCGTAGTCCAGTGTAGCCTGCTTCGAGGTGACGTAGTCGCTATTGCCCAGCCTCGTTTTGATGTCCTCATTGATCTGCTGCAGGAATTCCTCGATCTGAAAGAACTTCTCCCTGCGGTTTGCTTCAGACATGCTCTCGAACTAATGGCAATGCTACTGATGTTCAAAACCACTCACCGGTTGAGCCTTTCGTTCTCGAAGATCAGCTCCTCCAGCTTAAGGATGTTGTCGTTAAGCTGATTCTGGTGGAAGGTCACGTCCGCTGAGAGCTGGTTTACCATCTTCTGAGCCTCGTCCAGTCTGGACTCGACTTGCTCCTTTAAGGCCTGCGGTATGGAAATATAAGAATAGCGATTTTAAGCGAGAACACAAGTTGACTTTGAAAAGCCTAAAATTAGATTCCAATGAAGTGCCCAGAAAATGTCTCAATTTATATAAAACTATATTCTACAAAAAATAAAGTTAAGCTCGGTTGAAAAAAATGGAGCAGATGTGATTTGTTCTGCTTGCTTTATAAAACCCATTACAAAAGCCTTACTAAGATTTCTTAAATTTGGACTTTGATGTAATGTAATGTAAATTAGATCTCCCAGCTTTCTCTGAATGCGAATTTAATATAGCTCTTTGGAATTATAAGATTTCTGGAGCACCCCTGAATATTTATATTTGGTCAAGTTATCTTTAGATGAGCTCAGTTCTCATAAGAGTTATTAATACTATTGTGTGTTTAGAGAAGGCGGTACAAAAATATCTGGATATATATATTCGCACCTTTTAGTTTTTAAATTATTAAGAAACGCTTAAGCCGAGTGCCAAGACTTTTAAATACCTGTTACTCTGCTTACCAACTTTAAAATACGCCCCTAACAGATGGCGCCACTTTCAATTCATGACGAACAGAAAATGAGGCGCCATCTGGCGGCAAGGTGTGTTTATCTGCAAGCGCTGACCACGTTAAACTAAATTTCTAAATATTTTATAAAACAACTGTTCGATTTGGAATTTGTTTGTATGCTGATAGATTATGACGTCATAAATGTATGCCGACCAAAAACATTTCCCTACCAAATCGCCTTCTTCAAACTGTTACATACTCTTCAACGAATTCAAAATACCCCTTACAGTAAACGAATAAGGGGTATGAGTGTGTGCTCCACAGACCCACCTGAGCGATATCGCAGCAGTACTGCAAGTCGAGCTGGCTCTGTTCGGTGGCAAAGGCCCTCTGGGAGGCCTCCGCGTCCATCAGGCGGCGGAGGTCGTCGAGTGCCTTGTCGGTGTCGCGGGTCCAGTCGTCGACGACTTGGTTCTGCTTGCGGATGTTGCCCACGTCGGTGATGAGGTGCAGGCGCTGGCGGATCTCCTCGTTGAGCACGGACCGAATGGTGCCCACGTCCTGCTCGATCACCAGGAGGCGCTGGTCGGACTGTCGGTCGAGGCGGTCCATGCTGACGCTCATTCGCTGGCCGTTGGGCCCTTGCAGATTGGTCCTGGGGCACTCCTTCAGGTGGGAGCGCATGCGGATGCGCGGGATGAAGGCCTGGCAGCCGTTGGGGCACTCCTCCAGCACCTGGCCGCAGTGGATCAAGTGTTCCTGCAGGCGCACCCAAGGGGAGTAATGTAATTGTAATCAGAGCAGACTGGAAAGTTGGGCGGGTATAACCGTGAATGTCTGGGCGTCAAACCATTCGTTGCAGAAGAGGCACGAGGACTTCTCATACTTCACTATGGTCGTCGACTTGGGCTGGCCCGGCTCTGGGCTCGGATGCTGTTCCGCTAGGTCCTTCCGCGACGACGCCTTGGTCAAAGACATGGTTGGGAGGGAGGTAAGCAAACAAAATTGAAACTTGTGATCACCGAATTCTCTGGCGCTGCGAGCACCGCCCTATGCACACTAAACTCAGCCGAAAATGATTAAGAGTTTCCTTCGGCATAGTCATACGCGGCACACAGAGGCACTGGCACATGGACGTGGGTTAGATATAGATATAGGTTTACACATGTGTTAGCATTAGGGCGTCCATGAAATCTATACGACAGCCGCGAGCTGATAGCACGCGCATCGGTATTCCGAAAAACGAGAACAGGAGAATTGTATTGACCACTAACTTGGCGAACTCTTCGTCGACCATAAAACCCAGCCACAAAAGGTCCACTAACCGCTCTCGACTTCCCAGCACTTGCCGCGAATGTCTGTGGGCCCTGTACCTGCGAAAGAGCCATATCATATCTGCCCGTGTACACACATATGCGGAATGCGAGATATCACTATCATTGGAAACGGCCCCACAATCAAAACATTCGGTATTGCCTCAGCAATGCAAATGGGAACGACGCCATCGACCAGATTACACTGCGAAGGGCGCGGCAGAGGCCGAGTCTGGTCGACACCGCGGATACCCTACATGTCCTTTTATCAGGCTTCTAAAAATGCAGCACAAGACCACGTAGGGTTGAGTTGCTATTAAACCCTAAAAATTACATTAAAGTCGAATTTCTTCAGAAAACTGGGAAGTGATGGAAAGTTTAAAGTTTCCGGTAAGTAATCAAAAGGTAAATTCGTTTTATTATCAGTAGCGGCTTATATTGGGCCAAAATGGTACGCACGTTGTTCTCCATACATACGAATACACTTCATGTTGCGTAGTTGACTAATAGGTATCTGATAGTCGGGAAGCTCAACAGCCTCACTTGCTCAGATCAAGTTGGAAAATTTGGTGGATACCTAAATCCGGCTATAAACTAAACTATAATTATAGGATCAGTTCAAATTTTCTAATACCTTTTAAAAATATTAAAAAGCAGAAGATCTTTACCAAAAAAAGCAAACTATTGAAATTTATTCGAGATTGTTTTGCCTAAAAGAACGAATTGACTGGTTTAACTGTTTAACGCCAAGAATTAATTTAATTTTATCCAGTTTTGACCGATTGGGGACACTTAAGAACACCAGATTTATGTAAGCAAATCAATGTTTTCAAATGGATTTGACTGTGAATTGATATTAGCTCAAGTTTAGTTGTCATTGCCCAATGTAACGTACAATCGCAATTCCATAGAAACTAGTTACATAGGGACAAGTTGTCGTATCCCACAACGGTAAGGTCGGTCAATATCTATCGGCACACTTTCGGCACTTTTCAAATCGAACTAATTATTTAAATTCTTATTATTAGCTTTGCGTGGGCAGTTTTATAAATATATAAATATATAAGTGCAGTGACGTACGTAAGAATTTGGCAGGGGGGTTTTTGGTCGATTGAATTATCCTCGGTGGTTCGGCATTCAAAGCAAATATATTTAAAAATAGATACACTCTAACCCTAAACATTAGCTTTATCTAACAGTTTTTTATTGAGATTATAGTTAGAGCCTTTTAGAGGTATCACAGAAATCTTTTCCATCCAAACTTCAACCTAAATACAAATCTCGGGATCACAGAAACCTCATGAGTTTTGCCTAATCGATTTTAAATCAATTAAATCACTTTGAAAAATGTGTTCCCAAAATCGAAACAAAGTTACTCTAAAACGCATCAGAAGCTTCACAGATTCTGTGACAACAACCGATTTTTCCACTTACTCAGACACCTCAGATGTGTTACAATTTGAGAACTCCAGGCTACGATCTCGAGTTGGGTAAAACTACCACTAACTCTTAAATAAACAGGGCTCCATCATTTTCGGAGTCTAAAGATCTTCAGATTGGTGGCCAACTTCTTATAAAGTTGTGATAAAATGTTATCAGTATAAAAATTCGTACACAACGTTGATTGGAAGTTGTAAGATATGTACGTTTTCAAGGCTCTACTCCACAACCAGATAAACAATGTCACGGCTAAGTTATTGTGTTTTTGGGAGAATAAAAGAGGAAACAGTAATGATTTTTCAACAAAAAGTATTTTATCTAACAAAAAAAAAGTATACATAAAGCTAATAAATAAATTAGGGGTATAAAAACTATGGGCTAGAGTCGATTACAGGTAAGTGGACTCGAACTTTTCACGCATCTTAAGTTTTCGTTGTTTTCCAGGGAAAATGCTGAAACTCTTGATGTTGAGTGCCCGTGACAGCATTCGGATGGTGAAGTCGGGCAGCAGGCAGGCCACGCAGGTCATCAGGAGCCACAGCCAGACGGGCAGGGAGGCCAGCAAGTTGTTGTAGGCCCAGTAGATGTCCGTGTCGAAGTCCCTGCAAATGGATTCCCATTGAGATCGACCGAAGGATATTCACAGATAAACACACTCACAGATTGATAACGTTGTAGATAACCGTGGTGACCACAAAGCCCAGGATGGAAATGACGAGGGTGAATATGTACCAGTAGGACAGGTACATCGACTCCAGCCAGAGCTTGAGGTTCACCACCACCACCACCATCCACATGAGGAGCGTTCCGAAGCAGGAGAAGGCCACCGTCTGGCCGTAGTTCAGGATCACGTTGTTGAAGGAGAAGAGGCAGAAGCCGAAGTAGAAGATGATCACCGCGTGGTAGACGGCGAACAGCACCCACATGAGGAAGTACGGCCAGTGCAGCTGCTTGTTGTCCGTGTTCTTCTTGTAGAGCTGCGGCGTTCTGTTGGATTGAAAAGGTTTGGTTAAAGGGGATAGTGTTGAGGGTCAGGTAAAGTCAGGTTCCACGTATGGTTGATTCTACTTGGAAACATGAAACAAACAAATCACACAGAAGCACAGTATGGGTCACTTTGGTGACCGAACCATATGAGTCACACTGTGTTAGAATTTCGAATCGTTCGAATCATACTGTGAGTGTTCATTCAAGCAGGACCCTATGTCCGACCCCAGCTAGACCCCACAACCCGACACTCACCTCATCAGCTTCTCCTCGGTGTACGGCTTCTCGGAGATGGCTATGAACAAGATGGGCAGCGCGGTGTATATCACATTGTACAAGGTGAGGAAGAGCGAGTCGTAGACGGAGGAGGAGGAGAACAGGGTGTGGAACTGGAACAGGAACATGATGCCCATGAAGACGATGTTCTTGTAGAAGAAGTACAGGACCAGCAGGGACAAACGGACACTGTGGTAGTGGCCGTGGACGAGGAGCAGGCGCTTCAGCATGCAGAACTTGGCGAAGGCGAAGTCCGCGCAGCGCGCCGCCTGCCTTCCCTCGCGTCCCATGATGCCGATGCCCACGTGGGCCTCCTGGATCATGGACACATCGTTGGCCCCGTCGCCGATGGAGGCCGTGTTGTAGTTATCGTTGGAGGACTTGATCAGCGACACCACCTCGCTCTTCTGCAGCGGACTCAGGCGGCAGCAGAGCACGGCCGTGCACTTGACGGCCACGTCCCGGAACTCGGAGCTGGCCTCCGCCAGGGCCACGCCCAGGCTCTTGCCGTCGATCAGCAGGGCGCACTCCTGGCCGATCCCGAAGATGATCTCCCTGTCCAGGGCGTTCAGGTGCAGCAGCATCTCCTCCCTGTTCTTGCACTCGATGATGAAGTACTTCTTCGCGTCCGGCGGAATGTGGCCGCAGGACAGGGCTATGTTCAGGGCCGTCTCCACCTTGTCGCCCGTCAGCACCCAGATCTTTATGCCGGCCGCCTGCAGGGAGACCAACGTGTCCGCCACGTCGTCCTGCAGTGCATCCTCCACAGCCGTCGCTCCCAGCAGGTCGAGATCTTTGGGGGAAACAGAAATCACCATTAAAACAAGAAAGGAAAGCTAACTTCGGGCGGAGCCGAAGTTGAAATACCCTTGCAGAATATTCTGCAAATTATATTCTCCAAAATTATTCATATGATGCATTCTTAATACTCATAAAAAATCCCACCTTCCTAACTTTAAAAACACCAAAGTTATGGCATTTCCAATCGTTCAGTTATATGGCAGCTACAGGATATAGTCGGCCGATCCATATGAAATTTGGTAGGTCGTATTAATTGGCCAAAAATAATATCCATAGGAAATCCTAACTTTCTAACTTTTCAAACACCAAAGTTATTTCATTTCCGATCAATCAGTTATATGGCAGCTATAAGATATAGTCGGCCGATCCTTATGAAATTTGGTACGTGGAATTGATTGGCCAAATATAAAACCCATAGAAAGTCCCAACTTCCTAACTTAACAAACAGCAGAGTTATGGCATTTCCGATTAATCAGTTATATGGCAGCTATAGGATATAGTCGGCCGATCCCGGCCGTTCCGACTTATATACTGCGTGCAAAGGAAAGAAGGGTGTGTACAAAGTTTGAATTCGATATCTTTAAAACTGAGAGACTAGTTCGCGTAGAAACAGACAGACGGACAGACAGACGGACAGACGGACAGACGGACATGGCTATATCAACTCAGGAGGTGATCCTGATCAAGAATATATATACTTTATAGGGTCGGAGATGTCTCCTTCACTGCGTTGCACACTTTTGACCAAAATTATAATACCCTCTGCAAGGTATAATGAGTATAACAACAATGAAGGATGCTTTTTAAAAGAAAAGGTTAAGGTTCTAAAGGTTAAGGTTCTAAAGGTTAAGGTTCTAAAGATTAAGGTTCTAAATGATAAGGTTCTAAAGGTTAAGGTTCTAAAGGTTAAGGTTCTAAAGGTTAATGTTCTAAAGGTTAATGTTCTAAATGTTAAGGTTTTAAAGGTTAAGGTTCTAAAGGTTAAGGTTTAACCTTTAGATTAAGGTAAAATTGTTCGGAAACTAATTTGTTTTCTCAAAGTGATGTTAATGAGTATCTGTTGTCACACGAATCGGAGTGTCAGTCAGAAAGCAAAACCCGACAATAAAAGCTAGTTAAGAGCTTTTAAGACAAACTCTTGCGTTATATTGAGAAAATAAATATTTTCAAAACAGCAAATTAAGTCAGTGTCAAAACTTAACATGCCATTGGGAACTTGGATGAAATACAATCCCAAGAAACTTGATTAACCGTAGTAGAGGGCGGCAATACTCACTGCTTTCGATCTTCGAGTAGCACTCCTCGCTGAGCTGCTTTCGGTTCTCCAGGGAGCTGTTGGCTTGGGCCAGCTCCGTGAGGAAGTCCTGGTACTCCTCGTCCGCGATGAGGCGTCGGGCGATGGCCAGGGTGCGGAGGCCCAGACGAGCGAAGTCGCTGATGTGGGCGTCCGTCTTGGAGACCAGGTCCGCCGAACTGTTGGCGCACAGTGGGAAGACGTAGCTCT